CGTGCATCTCGGCTCTTGTTTGTCCACTTTGGAACTTGAGTTCGACTGGTCAGCCAGCTCGCCTCCCAGCGTTGCTTTCGGGGGATGGCATTTCCTGGAAACCTTTCTGTAACCAGCGGCAGTACCTGTCATTTAGGGGCTTGGCGCGCGCACAATGCAAACCCACAACAGGAGGGCGGAACGAGGCTGGCACATCGTCGGCCACTTCAAGGAGCCAAGAGTGCGAGGGGGTGGACAGATTCTTGGGAGCAATCACGGGCCGGCTGTCAAGGCGTCCGCCAAGTCCCTTCCTTTCAAAGGAATCCCTGCATCTTTTCTACCCGAAACCAAGCTTGAGCCCGTGCGTGGGTGGTGATGGGGGATGGCAGTTGGAGGGAAACGCCGCCCGGGTCCCCGGAGACTCCAAAGCTACCAAGCCCCTGGCGATGGACCATTCGGAAAATTTCGTTTGGCGCCCCTCATTGAGCTTGACGTCCTGTCGTCAATGCCACGACTGCGTCCACCCACAGCAGGAGCTCAGAGTTTCGGGCCGTGAGGTGAGCAGGTTTACTCTAAGGTGAGTGTTATGCCATGTCTAGCCAAGACCATGTTCGCCTAGAGCATCCTTTAGTTAGTATCAACGAGATGGGCGTGAGAACAACGCTCGCTGGGCAGAGAAGCGGTAGACCCCGAGATTACACGTTCTCACCAGGCCGCCGTGGAGAAGGGGAGGACGGCAGTTGGCTCGAAAGGCTTGTCCGTGAGATGCTAGCTGGTATAGTTGCGCGAAACTTCATTAACGAAGCGGGTAGCCGGATGCGAAGGCTTCTCCTCCTGGCGACTGCATCCCCCTGGCGAGCAAGACTGGACAGGAGAGCCCGGGGTCCCGGGGGTTCTGCCAAGACGGAGCCGACAGCTGTCGCCGGCTACCGAGGATCCACTGAACGGGATGATCCTGCACCACAAACGCTTTTCCGCAGAAGTACGAATAAGGCCGCATGAATGACAGTTCAACCCCATGGCTGGCGTTGTTTGCGGAGTTTGTCCCTTCCGCCCCAAGCTCTGACATCCTCCCTTTTCCACCAACGGGCACGGCCAAGTGCTGTTCGGCGCCGAGATAGTTTCCCACCTCTCGTCTTGACGGAAGGAATCCGGGATTGAAGGTTGTTCTTGGTCTGGCCCAGAGTTCTTGTGGGGATTGTCTGATTGGTCGACACAAAACATAACTTGCTCGTTTTCGCTCCGGTCGGCTGCTTGAATTCTCCGCGACGTAGGGGTCGACAGATGTGCTGGTGGAAATTTTCCTTACTTCCTTTGAGGAGTTGTTGGCGTTTTGCCCTGTCTTTTCTTCAGCTCCTGTCGGGAAGATGCGGCCGACCTCCCGATGGAGGTTTTGAAAAGAAGTGACAGGGGTTGCGGATTAGCCAAAGTTTAAGCGGCATTCAACCTCTTCTCCCACTCGCCTCGTGCATGGGATGCAGAGGGAAACCGGGAACCAGGGTCGCAGCATCCAACCATGGAAGCTAACGTTGACATTAGCGAGCCATGTCTTTTCGGTGTCAGACCCAGAACCTCCATCAACCGGCGCAGGCCCATGCCTTATTGACGTCTGGGGGCGCTCTTGTAACGTTGGGTCGAGTAATTGGCGTGCTGTCGTGCACTGTCCCACAGCAGAAAAACGTATTTTTCAACCCTCGAGGTCCGCCGGTGTATGCCTAAGGACTCGGCTCTCGAGCCCAGTCTTGTGTAACTTGACGGCCGCAAAGATGCCGAACGAGATCCTTCGCGTATGCTACATCAATAGGCCCGAGAGACCTATGGTTCGCACAAACGGAGAGAATGTGGGGGCCAGGACGAGTGATGTTGGACTGGTCCAGTACTCTGGCCGCTGATGGGGTGACAATGGCCGACAAGGAGAGCACCACGATGGACACCTCGCCGTTACGAGGCTCGCGGAGAGAATACCTGCCTCTCCGTTCTCCGTGGCAGTTCAGCTCTCCGATCGCTGATGTGAGTACCCCACTGATGAAACGGCCGGCAGGCCACGAGAAGAGATGGCGCCTACGTGGGTTGTTCTTCGATGACCGTTCCCGATGCGAGCCATTGACCTGATGCAAGAACTGGTAACTGAGCCAAGCTGTGTCCCGAGTCGTGTCTTAAATTCTCGTTTGTTCCTCCCTATTTGGGGTAATACTATGTAGATTCACGGGTTAGACGAGCAGAAGCAGTTGCATTCATCTACAATGTAAAGCCGGCATATGGAGCAGGTGAGCAACCTATCCGCGAGGTGAATGGAGGGCTGGGATCTCGCAGGCGAGTCTCGAAGGTAACGTTAAAGGATCGGCAACCCAAGAATTAGCCCCAAGCCTCTCGAGGCCAGCTGAGGAGAGCGAGTGTTCCTTGGGACGGGACGGGTTTTTGCAAGCCGCACTCCAGCAAGCAATGCGGACGACTCGGTGACGGGAGGTTGTGTGGTGTGTGGTTTGATTCAGAGAGCCATGATGTGGGTGCCTGGCTCGAGCTCGGTTCCGGAGCCCCCGCCATGCACCCATGAGCCGGATTTTTTACCGCGAATGGGAAACGTGTCGCGACTGCCGGTCGGCGAGACTGGGGGTGGGTACCCGCCCAGCTGCCCCTGCCATCCCAGGAAACCGGTGCTCTCGCGCCTTCCCTTCAGCGGTTAGAGGCTTCCTTCCCGGGGACTGGAACCACTGTCATGGCAGTGCCAGCGGGCCGCCAACGGGCCAGATAGAGGATTTGCTCCTGCCCTCACCGTCCTCTTCCAGGGCCGTGGACCTGCCCAGTCAGGCAGGCACCGCCTGGTGGAAGCGCTGCTTCCGTTGAACCTGGAAATCTCGCACAAGTGGGTGAGATCGGCCCTGCAGCTTCCTCAAGATCTTCATTCTCTTTCCCCCAACTCGCACCCGCTTGCACCCTCAACTGCCATTCAACCCCTCGGCTTCGTCCGTCCAGCCCACAACTTTATGAATTCGTGATTATCTCCAGCATTCAGACGAGCCAGGCCTGTGGAACAATTCGGCCGTGTTAGAGAGCCAAGCAGGCAAATGACGAAACATGTGAGGAAAGACGCGCACCCGGGCCCGCAGCCTCATGCGCGCGGCTCAGCAGCAGCGCACGAAGTTTCACTTCTCTAGAGTCCGCTGGTCTTCGACTTCAGCCGGTCTCCGGCTGACGCTTCATCACCGGTGCCACTGCTTGCCGCCGTGTCCAGGCCGCGTTCTGTGGTCTCACAAAGACCGAGTCGGCCACGGCCCTCATGCGATACTCGAACGCGTGCTTATAGTACCAAACTAGGAGAGCCCAGACTGGTGTTGATGTTAACCGCCGAGTTTATAGCTTACGCCTGCTTGGCGGCCCTCCGTGAAGTCCCACCCGTATTCCCGCGTTCTGCTGCGACAAAACTGGGAGGATGTCGGGCCGGTTGGACGGGATCCTGGGTGGGTGAGCTGGCCCGCGGCATGAAGTACCGCGCCAAGTGCCGCCCTTGTACAGACGGCAAACAGCACCTCTGCGTACATAGTGGCCGTCTTCGGTTTCTGAGCGAGCTGCACGCCCAGATTCATTCATCAATCACCTCTCGAACTCGATGTCGGGCCCCTCAGCCGTCTCCCGACGTGCAGGCTTTGGGACCCCCAAGCAGCCAAGCCACTGGCTTTCTTCCATGGCTTCGAACGGAGCTTCCACACAAGGGATTACCCTCCACACTCTCTGGTCCGGAGCAGATCTTGGCCGTCCACAGTCGGGGATTCGCGCCGGGAAGCCCATCCACGGCACTTCTGTCTAGTGTACACTAGCCCCCCGGCCCTGACCAGAACCCGTTGACCCGCTTGATGGACAGTGATGATCGGCCCCTGACATCCCTGCCGAGCAATCTGCAGAGACGCTGGTTCCCGTCCTTCGTTTACCATTGTCCAGTCAAGCCAGCCAAGGCAACGACATAATCCTCGCAGGACTGCGGTACGTGTATTGAAAACAAAAGTTGGCTGGCACGCTCGCTCTCCCCTCCCGACCTGGAGAGGAAAAAGTATGGCTGATACGCCCTCTCCATATTAACGCCCTCCCCTCAATCTCCCGCTCTGGCCCACCAGCCCGGCTTTGCCATATTGCCCTGCCGCCTCCCACAGACTGCAACCTCAAACAGACCCTGTAGCCGTCCCAGTTCGCTGCTGCACCGTTTCCCCAGACTTTAATTGTTGTACCGGGTGCGCCCCGCCGGGACCCATCGTGCCATCCATCCAACAGCCGGGACTTGGCATCTTCCGAACGGATGAGCAGCAGCAAGGTGACCCTGCAAGTCCTGCCGGGACTGTGGTGTCCATAGTAAAAGCCGGCCGGGGCGTCAGTTAGTTATTTGTTGTCTCTCCTCCTGTCTTTTGGTTCCCTCTGTCTTACCCTTACTTCATTATCTCCTCGCCTCTTCCGCCGTCTCACAAAAAGAACAAAAAAAGGTCTCGGCTTCTTCCACGGTCGTGGCTAGCGTCGATCGCCTGCTTCGATAACAACCACGTGTGACCAAAACTTGCCCGACGGTGGCGAGCCAGCCAGAATCACAGAACTACTCGCGCCGGACTCGAAGTGGCTTGCTGCAGCTGCATGAGACAACCGTCCAACAAAATCCTTTGCCGTGAAGGGGCTTCACTCGCTAACGTCGTTTCACCAACATCGGAACGACTGCCGTTGGGGATCCAGGCGTTGGAAAGTTGAGAACGAGACAAAAGGAAAGCTTGCTTCTTTTCCGGAGCAACATCCCGATATCCGTGTCCGACAGTGAGACACATTCTACACCCGGCCCAGAACCTGGCTGCCGGATTTTGTGCTTGTGTGCTGCTGCCTCGATAGCTAGGAGTGGCCATCCCCCCCTCATTTTGTAAGGTCACCCGAATCTTGGGGAACCTCACGACATCCCCGACCTGTCCAACACGTTTTCGAACGACAAGGGCTAATCGAGAGGGTGGAAGGACCAGACTGCGTTCGTCCGCCGTCCGTGGACCGCTCCCCCAATGTCTGCAGCGGTCGATTCAGCTCATCACAACTTTGGCCGCCATAATCACTTGGACGGCATGGCTCAACACCACAGCTACCACGATCGGTACGGCCCGGGGCATGGACACTATGTCCTCGAAGAGCAGCAGCCCCGGCAGACGTCTCAGGCAAGACAGCTGCCCCGGTTACCGCCCATGGCTACCATGATCCCGCCCGCGTCCTCTAACCCTTCTCCGGTGTTCTCTGCCAGCGGGAGAGGCGGCTACTACTCCGACTATGCAACGCCTTCTCCAGTTGGGCAAACACCACCGCAATTCCCCATTCCGAGTAGCGATCCTCACTCGATGGCGAAGCGGGCGGTCGACATTCGGTGCTCTCCGACCCTGTCCTCCACGGCCAGCGACAGATCGACGGAAGACGTGGCACAGGAGATGCGTCTGAGGCAGATGGGCGGACTGCACGACCCGTACGCCCACGGCCCTCGTCAGCTCCCTCACTACCCGTCTCCCCGATCAAGAGGCAACTCATTGCATAACGACAATGCCTATCCATCAGCATTGCCCAAACCTCCTTCGTCCGCTCCTTTTCCGTCTGTTTCTTCAATATCCAACGGCCATGCATCACCAGTAGCATCCGCACCAGTCCCGCACAGCCCCCCCAGCACCCAACCATCGACCTCGCCACGCCCAGAACCCAAGTCCATGAGCATCTCCAACCTCCTCAGCGGGGGCAGTTCCGAAGCCGCTCCCCCGACATCCTCCTCACCCTCCCTCTCATCCAGCACCGCAGCCGCTGCCTCAGCAGCACCCACAGCCGCGCCCACCCGCGCGCCCGCACCACCCCCGCGCGCTCCCAACTCCGAATACCGCATCACCGTCCGCCAACAGCCCTCGGCCGCCCGCAGCTGCGGCTTCGGCGAGCGCGACCGTCGCGTAATCGACCCGCCCCCAATCGTGCAGCTCACAATTCACGACCCGTCGCTCTCGCAAGACGACATCGACCGCCGCCTGCGTCACCAGTTCTCAGTCGTGCACTGCTCCATCTGGGACGAGCACGGCGTCAAAGACATGTCCAGCATGCCCGAGGACTTCCGCCAACAACGCCGGCTGATGGGCACCCTGGTGGCTTCCCCCTTTGTTGGCCTCGACGAGAAGGGCGAAGAAGGGTGTTTCTTTTGTTTCCCTGATCTGAGCTGTCGGACGCCGGGTACGTTCCGACTCAAGTTTGCGCTGGTGGTGCTCGACCCGGCAAGGATGTGTTCCGGCGAGCGGTCGGCGATTGTGGCGACGGCGATGAGTGAGAGTTTCCAGGTGTATAATGCGAAGGATTTCCCTGGGATGCAGGCTAGCACGCCGTTGACGAAGAGGTTGAAGGAGCAGGGGTGTTTGATTAGTATTAAGAAGGGGAATGATAAGAGGGAGATGGGCGGGAGCTCGAAGGGGGACGATGATGATGAGGATGAGGATGAGGATGGGGGTGATGAGGAGGGGCGGAGCGGGCGGGGTGGGAAAGGGGGGCGTGGGAGGAAGAGGGCGAAGAGGTAGATGGGGGGGAGTATCATAATAACGGCCAGTTATGCAAAGTTGGATAGGGGAGGGGGGGCAGGAGGGGGCATCATGGCTTTCTGGGCTTTTGTAATGGTCGGCGGCAGGGGTTTCCGTCCGACCTGGCGTTTTGTTTTTCTTTTTAATGTCTTGTTTGAGCGAACTGGTGACGGCTGGCTACGGACGGCTACGGAAACTGATACCTATTTTCTATGACATTACTGTATTGTTTACGACTTAAATGGTATTCAAAAGACTTATACACGTGGTTATGATTCTTGGCATTCTCAAATTACATTTCGGATTAGAATAAGGAGGGTTTTGTTCTGAGAGGATGAGCGACTCATGCTTGTAGGGGGAATGGCGCGTGTTAGCCGAAGACTTGGACTGCGTCGCATTGTTTCATCTCTTCTGTCCTCTCATTTGTATGCATTAGGCGCTGAATACCCGGGAAGTAGGTGGTGGCTTTTAGTCCTTGCTCAAGCGATAGCCACGCACCAATCTACTAGCAGGCAGTAGTCTATGTACAGGCACATTTGCAGCGAAAAACACAAGTACACACACAGAGCCAACCATTGCGTTGTCTCGAGCATATACGTACAAAGATTTCCGTGGCCATGGCCAACCTACAACAACTCCCTCACACTCTTTACCCTCTTCAACACATCCGCCCTCTTCCCCTCATCCGGAATCACAGCCACCCACTCCACCGCCATCCGCAGCATCTCCTCCATTTTCGCCTTTGTCAGCTCACTTGCTGCCTCTTTGCTTCCTGATAGTTTGCTCTGTTGCCCTTTCCCACCAGCGCTAGCACCGGCACTGGTACTATCACCAGCACTAGCACCATCCCCCTCACCAACAGCCCCTGCCACCCGCATCACCAGAACCATCGCCAACAGCTCGCACGCCTCCCAATCCCCGCTCTGCGCAGCCCGCGTGAGAAACTCCTCACAGTCAACTAGTGTGTAACCTCTCCCTTCACTGCTGACACCCTTCACTCCATCACTTTCCCCCGTAAAAGCCGGCAACAACCTCTTCGCTAACTGTGTATACCCCTTCGGATCCCCCAACTCAAACGCCAAAACCTCCAACGACGCAAACGCCTCCGCGCGAGCCTCTTCCACGCGTTCTTTCCGCCGAAACAGCAGCGTCGCTCTGTGTCGGTGACAAATCGCCTCGTAAGTCCATCTCGGACTGCGCCGTCTCGGTTCCGAAGCAGACACCGCCCCCGTCCCTGGTACTATCGGTGGAGGCGGTGGATGCTCCATACCCTCCCGCAGCGCCAAATCAAAGAACCTCAACGCCTGCGCATCCGGATACCCCCGATTAAACAGCACCAAGCCCTGAAGTGTATACACATCCGGGGACGGGTTAGTCTGGAGGAGGCGACGGAAACGTTGATCGACAGCGGTAAGGTAGGCGTCGGATTTGGAACGGGCGGATGCCGGAGACATTTCGAAGGCGCGGATTAGGGAGAGGGTGGAAGGGACGAAGTTGAGGGTGGAGGCTGTTTGGAGCATGCGCATGCCGACTGGCTGGGCGGCGGGGGTCGGGGTGTTCATTAGGAAGAGGGAGAGGGCGGCGTAGTGGAGGGTTAGGGGGGGGATTTTGTAATCTGGGGGGGGGGAGTTAGTATGGTATATCCTTGGAAACAATCTTTTATTTTTGGGGGCGGGGGGAGGGGGGTATATATACCTTTCTCCAGTTTCTCCTTCCATCCGTCGTTGGCGGCAGTGGCAAGGGAACAGAACACGGTCACGGCGTTGGAGCATTCTGCGGGCGGGACACCCCCCAATTTCCCCATCGCTTCGATACTGTTCCACCATGATATCGGCGGGGTTGTGAAATGGGGGAAGAGTAACGCTGCCTGTTGAGAGGACCCGGTTGACTGACTTAACGGGCCCGGGCGGCGTTGCATGCGAGGTGTTGTAGCGTATTGCTTTCGGTGTGGTGGTTGCTGGTGTTGTTGTTGCGAGGGTGGACGTGGGTGTGGTAATCCGAGGCATTGCCCGTAATGGGTGAGGATTGACGGATGAGAAGTTGGGGTTTTGGTCTGAAAGTGAGCGCCAACACCCCTGCTCATGGGCGCTGGGACCCGTGATATGTGTAGCATGATTATGGAGAAATAATAGGTTATGTTGTGAGACGATGAACAGAGAGAGAGGGGGGTTGAGGTAGATGTTGGGCCTGCTGCGGAACTTATTTCCACGGTATTCTCATATCAATTCGGACAGTCGTATTAAGAGAAGGCCAAGCTGTGCTGGCTCTCTTGCAGACCGGCACACCAACTGTGGCTGAAGTAAAGCGCGAGGTGCCGATGAGGTTGATCCGTGGTTTTGGGTTTGAGTACACGTTTATTACGGAATACATTCACAATACCAAACTGTGAAAGCTGTTGCGAAATTTCCCAGTGCCAAGGCCGCATGGACAAGTCGTTCAATGACATTGGTGGGTCCCCTGATATCCTATCGACCAATCACATTGCCACAATCCGCGCAGTTGCAGCGAAAAAAAGTTTGGGGACCGACATTCAGAGAACTTTCATTGTGAAATTCAAACCATACTCTTCATTCCAAAAATTAACCCAGCAACAAACGACCTCTCGCCAAGCAGCAAATCCCCCAGGTTAATATCATTTACCTCTTTAGGCCTAAAGTTGACTCCTGGACTTGAGATATAAATTTATTTCCAATTACGTGATCGAATACTCCCGGCACCATGGTCACTCTCAGATCAGCAGGGAAACAACCACAACCGCCTCCCAAGGTGAACACGGAGATCGTTGAGATCGTCTCATCCGATTCAGAGAATGAAGTCGACGGGGATGATGATGAAGCGCTAGACGTGGAGCCGCCCTCCAGCGTCACGCTCGCAGACCCTTCGCCGCTGTTCGCAACACCGGGGGTGAGGTACGGGGAGGATAAGTTCCAGCGGAAAGAGGCGGGGGAAGTGCAAGAAGGGGAAGAGGAGGCGGCGGAAGGAAGTGAAGGTGAAGAGGAGAGGCTACAGGACGAGCAGGAATCACCATCAAGCGCCAAGCTGGCTGTCCGGCCCAAGGGCGCCCGGTCACCCAAGAAGGGGCGTGTCAGCGTCGAGATTCCGGTTCCAAAATCGGCATCCAAGACGCAGCGGAAACAGGACGGGGATTCAAAAAAATCCTCCGAGACGCCGAAAGCGGGAAAACACATCACGTTTGACGACAGCGAGTACGATGAGTTTGTGACGCCTAAGGAAGCGCCTACGGAGGACCCGCTGGAGAACCAAGGGGTGGAGGAGGATGAGGAGGATGAGGAGGAGGAGGAGGAGGAGGAGGAGGAGGAGGAGGAGGACTCCGATGATGAAGCGCCAGAGGCGGTGTCTACCCGTACTGCGGAGGTAGAAACGCTAAAGGCTGCGGGGGCTGCTGCAAAGGCGGCTGAACAGTGAGTTGTACCCCATACCTTTCCCCGGTTGATAAAGCAGGTTAGTAACACTGTTCTAGACAAGCAGCCGCTGCAAAGCGGAAAAGACAAGAACGTGATACGTTCCTCAAGAAGCAAGCCGAGGAAAGGAAGCGGCTCCAGAAGCCTGCTGTGCAACAAGACGAGGACGACGACGACGACGTCCCGACAACAACCAAAGCGCCAGCAACAGAAGGCGAGAAGCGCAAGCGGGAAGTCCCCCAATTGCTCCCCTTAGAACTCCTCGAGTCAGACGACGAGGAGGACACTCCCCGGCAAACCGATTCCGCCGCGGATCAGCAGAACAAACGGAGGAAGCTGGGCAGCGCAGAACTGGCTCTGCTTAACGGGCCTCGACTACCCAAGGACAAGCGCGTGGGGACGACGGCGTACAGGGTGGTGAAGGGGACGGGAGATGGGCGGTTGGCGCCCAAGGCGAGGAAGCAGTCTGTGAATTTGAAGGAGATGTTGCTGAGGCGGGACCGGGTTGCGAAGCCGAGGGGTGGGTTTTTTGTGAGGAGCCGGTGAGGCTGATTTGTGGCTTTGTTATGTTGGATTACAATGTAGTAGTGTATGTGAAGCCGCGAGACCTTGGCAGGCCGCGCTGGGCGTGTTCGGCCCTTGGTCGGAGTTCGAATAACCGGGCAGCTGGGGCCGTCGGGCTGAGCCGGAGAAGCCCGGCTCGACTCGGCGATGGAGTGGCTCGCAGCCGGTGGAGTGGGTTGGCAAACCGGGACGAACTGGATCAGTGTGTGTCTGGGCTGTGACGAATTGGATCCTCCAAGAGCAAGATTTTTCCCCCTTATCCCGCCAAGCAGAGCATTGAGACAAATAAATCCCGAGACACAAATGGGAATTGTGGACTAATCAGATATATCCCGCAAGTCCGAGCCTTGGTGTTTACTTGTTCCCTAAACAGGGATGGCTGCTGCTGCAAAATAAGAGCTGTGACGTGCAGGTGTCCGGGTGTGGTGAGCTCGCGGCCTTTGCGTGCCGCTGTGAAGCTCGGAGTGAGAGCGTGGGAACGTGGGGGGTGGACCACTTTTTAGTCGCGCAGCTCCCACCCCGCTATCCTTTTAAGCTCTTCCCATAAAACACTACTCTGCAACGCCGACCGGACCTCCGATAACATCACGTCTCATACTTTCACCTCCCTATTCCCATCCCTAACCCCAATTCGATATACCCATTCACAACCAACCGCCCACCATGGCTCGCAAGTTCTTTGTCGGTGGTAACTTTAAGATGTAAGCTGTGCCGGAGAATTAACGCCTTGTTTACCCCGCCATCAACAAACCCCGCGGGTATATTCCGTAGCAAGCCCCCGATCCCCGGGGGGCTTACTCATGGGATGTTGTTAACGCTCGCTTTCTACAATAGGAACGGGACCAGCGAGTCCATCAAGAAGATCATCAAGAACCTGAACGACTCGAAGTTGGACTCCAATGTTGGTATGTCGGCGCATTTCTTTTTCGTTTGGTTGTAGGCTTCGGGAGGTTGTGATACCGGAGCTGTGGAGGAGTAAGAAAGGGAATAAAAGGAGAAAGAAGAATGGGGCATGTCAAAGTGAATTATATGTCGGCTAACATCTTGTCTCTCCCGCACAGAGGTCGTGATCGCTCCTCCGGCCCTCTACCTCCAGCTGGCCAAGGCCGAAGTCAAGCAGCCCACGGTCCAGGTGTCGGCCCAGAACGTGTACGACAAGCCGGACGGCGCCTTCACCGGCGAGATCAGCGTGTCGCAGCTGGCCGACAGCGACATCCACTGGACCATCCTGGGCCACTCGGAGCGCCGCACGCTTTTGGGCGAGACCGACGAGATCGTCGCGTCCAAGACCAAGTTCGCCATTGACGGCGGTCTCAGCGTTGTCTGGTGCTGCGGCGAGTCGCTGGCCGAGCGCGAGGCCGGCAACACCGTGGCGGTCGTCGAGCGCCAGCTGGCTGCGCTCGCGGCCAAGATCTCGGGCGCCGACTGGCAGAAGGTGGTGATTGCGTATGAGCCTATCTGGGCTATTGGTACTGGCAAGGTGGCGACTGTGCAGCAGGCCCAGGAGGCGCATGAGGCTATCCGCAACTGGCTGAAGGCCAAGGTCAGCGATGATGTTGCTGAGCAGACCCGGATTCTGTACGGCGGTAGCGTCAAGGGCGATAACTCCAAGGACCTGGCCAAGGAGAAGGATATTGATGGTTTCTTGGTTGGCGGTGCCAGCTTGAAGCCCGAGTGTACGTCCCCCCTTTGTCCCGGGACTGTGAGAGTGTGTGAAGGCTAACAAAGATCACTAGTCGTCGACATCATCAACTCGAACCTTTAAATCGAGCTGCTAGAAAAGTAGACAGATGTAGCCTGCCCTGGGCACAATAAGGGGCAGCGTGACCAAATGGAGAATTGAAACAAAATAATAAAGACAAAAAATTGGATGAAGGATCCGATCATCAGCCTGCCTGTCCTTGTATTCTGTATGATCATCTATCTGTAACACACTTGATTGTAGATTCAAACGACCTGATAAGGGAACCCGAGCATAACGTAGCGTCATTTCATATTGATACAAACACATATTTGCGCCATATACAGTCCACTCGTACATGTAACAACCCCCCAGCAACCCCAACCACAACCAGATCTATGTTCCTCTCCCAATCCCACTCCTTCCACTCCTTCCAACCTAAAACATAACCCCCTCCCCCTTACACCCGCAACCCATTCCCATGGTACGGCGACCATACACCACGAACAGACTCGTTGATCGACCGGACAGGCTTAACGGTGCGCTTGTTCTTCTCGCCGTTGGAGTCGCGGAGGAGCGTCGCCTTCTTGAGGATCTCGTACGGCTGCATGTTGCGGACACACACCGATTTCTCGCGGCCGTTGATGTACTGGGCGATGATGACCGGGTGGCGCGAGGGCCGCGGGGAGACGGAGAATTCGACTTGCGGGTTGGCGGTAACGAATGCCGGGAGGAGGGATTTGATGAAGCCGCTGGGGAGGTGGGTTAATTTTGGCAACGGGGTTTAACTGTGAGGGTGATAGTGGTGGTGAGCGTACTTCATCCCTTTGGAACTCCCGCCAAAGTCGCAGTAGTGGAAGTCTAGCTTCTTGCATTGCAGGACGAAGGACCCGACGCCATTCTGTGTAGGACGAGAGAGTCAGAATTTGTGTTGGTAGTCTTGAGAATGGGGAGGGGGTCTCATACCCGGCCGACGGATACTTGTTGCAACGCCCTGATCGTCATCTTGGCCGCCGGCTTCGTCGTCGTCGTCGTTCACCTTCACAGAACATGAGGGACCGCGAAGTTGCACCACCAAGAATCAGAAAATGGGACTTGGACCCGCTTCTGACAGCCAGAGAAAATAGGTGGGGCAGCACGCATGTCATTGGTTGACCTTGTCCTCGGTCCTCGCACGGTCCAAGCCCTGCTCTGCTTGCTTGGCTCTCTGGCTGCACATCGCGAGCTCTCTGATTTTCTGCCAGCTCGGAAATCCTTCCATCTTCATCCCTCGTCGCAGTTCACGACGCCGCCCGGTTTCCCCCACACCATCATCGGCGACTCTGCAAGGCGGCGCGCGAGTCAACGGGAGCGGAGTTCAATCGATTTTTGTCATCTGTCTGCGCGAACGAGGATCGAATCCTTCGTCGGAAATTTATTCGATCCGACACGGTTTCGCCCTGCGCGTCTTCCAACGACCAACATCCGAGGCCCAGGCCGGGTCGCACTTTCCACCTCCCACCCCACTCGAATATCAAGGTCTTCCGACCCAATTCAACCCGGATCCGATTAAACCGGGACTCAATTCCTCTCCCACACAATGACGGACCGTCTCCCGCCCAACCTCCTCGCGCTCTTCGCGCCGCGCCCTCCGCTGCGCTGGGTTCCGCCTTCCGATCACGCGCCCGAGCAGCGCCGGACCGCTGCCGTGTCGGGCATCGCCCAGTTTTTGCCTGCGCTGGCTGAATATGATCGCGAGCACGAGTACAACCCGACCGAGAGCTGGCTTGAGGCGCGCGACCGCAAGAAGCGCGAGAAGGTCGAGCAGGCTGAGGCGCTGGTTACCGAAGGGCCGAAGAATTGTATGATCACGGATCGATTTGTCCTTGATTCTAGATGGACTGTAGGGCTAACCATGGTTGCGCTTTGAACAGATACACCACACGATGACCCTAACATCCGAGGCGATGCCTTTAAAACTCTGATCGTCGCGCGTCTGGACTACAACGCGGACGAAAAGGACCTAGAGCGCGAGTTTGGACGGTTTGGGTCTATTGAGCGCGTATGTTGTCCCCTTCTTTCTCTTTTCTCTTTTCGATGGCTTTATCAGATTTACTCAACCAACCTCTGGCAGATCCGCATTATCCGCGACACCCACGCCCATGAAAAGGGAAACAAGAAACAGAAGCCTCACCGCGGCTACGGCTTTGTAGTATTTGAGCGTGAGAAAGACATGAGAGGTAATGCCGCCACTTTGATTCTGAAACAGCACCGATACCATCCCGCCGCTTGCCGGAACCCACCCCCAGGACGCTCCCCATGGCCCTCAAGCTTGCCAGTCCTTCCTTCTTACCCACCCTCCCTCCTGTTACCTGCGTTTGTCCCCACCGCAAAGGTAGTATCTTGTCTCCTGGTAAGGCGTTACTGACAACTGCGCATCTTGGCGCATGCGTGAACTAGCTGCTCTAGATGGATGTGATGGTATCCGCATCAAGGACCGCCGCATCAAGGTTGATGTTGAGAGGGGCCGCACTGTCAAGGGCTGGAAGCCCCGTCGTCTGGGCGGCGGTCTCGGCGGCCGCGGCTACACCAAGGCATCCATGGCCCGGCCCATGGGCCCCGGCGGGTTCGGAGGTGGTGGCTTCCGGGGTGGCTTTGGCGGTGGATTCCGCGGCGGCCGTGATCGTGGCTTCAGGGGCGGTGGTGGAGGTGGTTTCGGTGGTGACCGCGGTTTCCGTTCTGGTCCCGGTGGTGGTGGAGGCGGTGGATTTGGTGGCCGTGATCGCGGGTTTGGCGGCCCCCCTAACGCTCCTAGTGGCCCCGGCGGCGGCGGTGGTGGTTATGGCGGCCGTGATAACCGACGGGATGGCGGTGGGTATGGTGGCCGCGACGGCGGCTCTCGCTCATATGATGACAGGTCAGGCGGTGGTGGTGGCGGAGGCTTCCGCGACCGCAACCCCCGGCAATCTGGCAGCAACATGGAACCCATCCGACCTCGTGGCGACCGCGGCGGCGGTGGTGACCGAGGAGGTGGCGGTGGAGGCGGCGGTGCAGGTGCTGGGGGTGGTGAGAATGGTGGGTATTACGGCAACGGCAGTGGTGGCGGTAGGGACTATGACCGGCCCAGAGATCACGACGACTCGCGCAAGCGCGGCTACGACGGCGGCGGCTATGAAGACCCCAGGAAGTTGCGACGCTACTAGCAAGATCGGACCCCATGGACAGGGTAATCCGTGTCTTGTGTGGTGGGTATCACTGCTTTCTTCACTGTCGTTTTCTTCCGTCTTCCTGCCTGCCTACCTCCCTGATTCCTCTCGTCCTGGAAATGAGGGTAAGCCAGGGTAAGCCATCCGGTTATCTCTTCCAGAGAGACCTTTGCAGGTTGCAGAAACACAGCAAACAAACTGGAGCCAATCCAAAGCCAGTCCTGGCCCGGCAAAACAACCTTCCACATAACCTCTCCTCTTCTCGGCAAGGTAACAAACTCTTTCAACCCCGGTTTCACCAGGCCGTTCACCATCCACCAGACAGGGCAAGCCTTGTTTCATACCGGACTGTTTCCAGGCTTCACCCACGATTATCCCACGCAAATCTGGAGAAACGAAGAGGTATGGGGACGTAACTATCCACGGATATCCAGGTGTCCAGCACCTCTTCCTGTACAATTCTTCAGTGCTGCTCTAAGACCGCCTGGGCCAGTTAGGACGGACGGCCTTTAGCGAGTATCTAACAAAGTGTTCACGGGGAAGGTAATACGCCGATTCTTTCTTCGTCTTGTATTTATTTTACCTTTTTTCCATTTTAATGTTTTCTTTGCGCTCTGGACGCTTGTAGCCAAAACCAATATCAAAAGGGGAGATGGGAAAAGATATCGAGTAAGAGACAGCCAGACGACATGACAGAGAGACAAAGACTGAGTGGGGAGTAAGTAAGGGGACGGATTATGACGGGACGGCGGTGAGATCTTAGGTAATAATTGTTTCTTTCCCTTTTTTTTCTTTCTCTGTGATGATGACGATCATATAACTGGGCGGGCGGCAAGGGCGGAGGGAGAAACATGGGAGAATGTATGAGAGGTAGGTAGATAGGTAAGGAAGTGTTATTTCCTACTCCGACCTTGGGAGACGAGGCGTCGTTGCTCATCGTTCTCGGCTAGAAAATGGGGGCCTCTTTGTATTCGCCCTCCTACCATGTGGACGAGGAGTATGAGAGCCGGTTTGGGCACACTCCTCATGGCTGGTTAACTTTTTCCTCTTTCTCAGTTGCTTGACACCCAGGTACATAGGTCGCGTGGCAGGTACTCGGATTGGCGAGGCGTGCTCGAGAAATGCTAAGCAGACAGAGCACTTCACATAGTTGAGCAAGAACCTCACTCAGTGGTTTCTCCCAGCATGATTAGACTAGTAACCTCTTGATGGCATGAACGGCTCTATTTTGTTTTCTGTCTCTCTCCTTTTCATTTTTTGTTCCACTAGCCCCTGCCTTATATCCCCGAGACGCCAAACCCCGAAAGAAACCCAAGCCTGAGAAAAGCTATGGTATCATGCAAAAGAGTTCCCCGATATGACACAATGTGAAATGGAACAGGAGCAGACCAATCAGCAAACAAACGAATAGAACAAATAGGTCCCCGTCACAACTTATATCCATCCCGCTGGTTCACCCCGTGAGATGGACGAACGGACAAACATGCTGGGGAGGGAGTAAGGCGGTATTATTCATCGTCCTCCTCTTCATCATCTTCCTCCTCCTCCTCACCACCAGCACTCTTCCTCTTCTTTTGCCCCTGCTGCCCCTGCTGCAACGCCAAAGCAGCCTCCCGTTCCTTCGCCCCCTCCAACTCCGTCACCTCCCCGGACGCCGCACTCCAATACGCCAACAACCCCACCCTAAACTCACTCAAACAAATACTAAACAACTTCAACAACCTCGTCTGCCTCGAATCCAACACCTCCCCCTCCCTACAAATCGTATACCCCGCCACACTCCCCTCCCCGGTCTCATCCCCCCCCAAACAAACTTTCCCCTTCACCATCCTCGTCGGCACCCCCAACCGGCGTAGTTCCGGGTCCAGCGTGTGCGAGACCGGAACGTCATGTTCGGGGGGGACTTCGCCCGCGGTGGAGTAGACGATGCCCGGGGGGATGGTGATGGTGCGCGGGGAGACGGTGCCGGCGCGCGCGAAATCGACGTGGGTGAGGGAGGCGAAATAGGACTCGATGGTGGCGGGGGAACGGTTGGTGAAGAGGAGGCCGACGGAGCCGGTTAGGTAGCGGGTGAGGTGGTGGAGGCCGTCGGCTTGGGATTCTTCGGGGGTGCTGCCTAGGGCGCGGGCGGTGAGTTTGGTTTTGCCGAAGAAGATGCTGTGGGCACGCGGTTTAGTGTTAATTTTCGTTTCAAGATATCGTGGTTTTTTGGTTAAGGGTTAGAAGGTCGGAGGAATAACGTACCGGCAGTCGGACAGTTCATGGCGGACTTCCTTGAGGTAGTTGTTCCTCATATTGTCAATGCTAAATGCAAAGCAGTGCTGGTACTGTGGGATACATTCCCGAATATTGGAAAACAGCTTGTCCTTTTGCTCGCGGGTCTTCTTGGTCACCTGGGTGAGGTGGTAGACCTTGGCGCGTTTTGACTTGGGCATGGTGGGCGTTATGTTTGAGGGTAGATTTTATGGGAAAATCGGTGTAATTGGGGATTGGAGTTATGTTGCTGAAAAAAAATAGCAGGAATTGGATTGGTTTTTTTTCAGGGCGTGGTGTTGTCACCAGAATTGTCAATACAAGTTTGCACGGATCCTCAGCGATATGGAACCAAATGCAGAGCCAGTGCTCTTCTTCGTTTTTTTTTTCTGCCGTGGTAATTTTTGGGCGGTGTCGCTGCATCCCCGCCAAGAATTGGCCGATAAGAAAGAGCCCCTCCTCGATAGGCGTCGGGGTTTTTCCCGTCCGAAGCAGCGAGCGGCCAGGGCCCCCAGGCCTCTGGCCAAGTCCTGTCAGCCAGCCGATCACATCACAACCCCACGACCAAACGGGACGGACCGAGTGACGGACGCCTTGTTTGTCAGTCAAGATGGAAGGAGATCTAAGGCTTCCGTCCTGGCGACCCTACTCTGTATGCGGATTGCTGCCTCGCAAGAGCAGCCTTGAGGTTAGGCAACGTCTGTATAAAGGTCCAAGTTATAACACATCGTTTTTACTGTGTATTTGTAGACCTTCCAGGCTGCCAGTCCTCGGTTGCTGCACGTGCAGGTTCAAGTAGGTGTCGGTCGGATCGGACAACACCCAAGTCTTACACAGTAACATACACAGTCCCTCCACACTCACACCACAACTTTTTTGACCTGCAGATGTGCATGGAATCCGACCAAGCACTTTCCTACTCGAGTCACTGACGAGCAGTCTTGCTGACTGCAGGACGCAGAGCTAAACCAACGTAGTAACGTAGTGTAGAGAGGGGACCGACGGCGAAGACGCACACACGGTCTTCACTCCGGCAAACTCCGATTATGTCCGTTTGCGAGACCCCGAGAGGGATCAACAATACGAATACAAATTTAGGAACAGGAATTGTCCTTGAAACGGTCGGCCGAGAGAAAGCTTTCGCGGGCTTTAGCTCGAGAAGGGGACGGGGGCGCAGCTCCTACTGTGGTAGTGACAAATGTAGTGGAGTGAAGGAAGAAGAAGCCCCTTGTTTTTGTTTGCATTCCGCCGAACGGCTGGGCTGGGCTGGGGGGGAACGGAAAATGAGCCGCATTTGTCCCACACAGGGGGGGACTGCTAGTCATCGTGTTGTTGATGGGCAGTTTTGGCGAGCCGGGTCTTGTTTGGCTTGCATTGGTAACTAACGTTCACGTTTAGCGGACGATTTCCCCCCAAAACACGTGGGCCAAGGAATGGAAAAACGTGTCAAACACGAAACTTTGTTCCAATTTCAATGTTGACTTCTAGTTTTCCACCACAAAATCATGGCTAGAAGGCAGCCATTGATGATGCCGCGAAGATGACAAGAGCTGATCGCAACCTTCCATGGGATCTGATAACGTTACCATTAACGGCCGAGCAGCTTGTCGCATTCCTTGGACGAAGAGGAATTCCCCAGCCGCGCGTAATCTGTACTGTATACCCGTACGGACGTACTGTGTGCTTTGTCACGCCCTCCCCGAGTCCGCGCCGTTGATTTTGGAAGGAAGGTTTTGGGAGATGAATCATGGAGATGGAGGCTTGGGGGGGTCGGGATCGGGTCGTAATAAACCCCGGGGCCCCGATTTCTCATCTCGGTGGGTGCGGGTGTTGTGGGGCGGCTGGGGACCGACGGGAAAAGCTGTGCCTTTTTTCGCCCAAACGTCAAATCACATCCACGTCCGCCCTCGCCCCCTTCTCAGTCGGGGGCTGCATAGCGGATCGGGTCCCGATATGACGCATTTCAAAGCAATGTTTCCTTTTGATTCCTCGACAGGCAAACGGGAGCTGTCTGATCTCAGCGTTGGGAACCTGGAAAGGGAAACAAGCATCGGCACGGAGTAGTGTACATCGGATTGGGTTACTATGTATGCAGATTGACTGCTGAGCGAGCGGTGTGCCCGATCGTTCCAAGTTATCTCATCAGGGAAGGCATAACTTGCATGCAGGTGTGGTGGGGGATATTTTGTTCTTTTTTTTGAGACCGAAGTTTTGGACCAAAAGTCCTCCCTTTTCCATGAAAGCCAACCGAACGGATTTCAGCGACGAGACCCTGCAATTTACACAGTGGAGCTACAAGCCAGGGTGGGGGCTGGGAGCCCACGCGGCCTGATAGAGAAGATGCCTGTGCGGTGGGCGTTTGAGCGGCTGGGCGGCGCCGAGAGTGCGTATGGTGTTTGAGACCCAGCGTATAGTTACACGACATAGGTATCCGTAAGAACGGATACGATGACTCTGCCCGTGTGTATGAGTCTGTTCTCATCGCTGGGCCGCTTCGATGGCACGATGGCTGGGCTAAAGCTGAGGCTCCCGTCAAGGCTGAGACGTCCGCACAGTGGCAGGGGCACTGGGGAAACGGGGTACTCAGGTCGTCGGGGTCGGGCCAGTGGCAAGCACTCAAGGAAAGAAAGTCTGGAAGTCTCCGGTGGTGACTCTTTTGCCCAATTCTGTGCCGAATCCGGGTGGATCAGCAAGGCCCCCACCCCTGTCTGTTTCGATGGCTTCCTGTGCTTCGCTTGGTTCCTTCCATTTTGACATGGGGCGGGCTCGCTCTCGTTTTGGTTCGGCGAGCCTAATTGGTCGGGAATTTGTGAACGAGAGCGAGGGGGGACCTGCCGACTTTTGATAACCTGAAGTGGTATTGGAAATCGTTTACGTCGGACCCGATGCGCGCTTGTCTGAACGTCGGGGGGCCGGCCGAATTTAGTTTGTCCCGAGTTCCGACGGGCTCCTGGAGGAGACCGTGGTGCGCGTTCCATGGGGATGGAGGGTTTCCTTTTTGGAGTTAATATAGAAAATAGCCTGCTGCCCGTGATTCTTTGTTCCTGGCTAGCTTCCGATTTCCCTCCCTCGATTTCATCACCACTATCCGTACTATCGTTTCGGAGGGCCCATGCCAGTTCCTGCGTGAGTTCGAGCAACCGGGCTTTGACATCGATCGGCCTGAGCTCCGCATTGGCTTTGACTTTTAAAATATCTGCAGTAGACACCACGCACCCCCCTCTCGACATTGCGTACACGATTAGGAAAAGCGCCCATTCCGTGCGCGTTCTCTCGGCTTTTCGCCTAACCCGGTCCCAGCGCTGTTCCCCCAAGGCCTGGTGATAGCGGGAGGAGAAGAAGAGGCCGCAACACCAACCACCCACACCGAATTCCTTCCTTGAAGGTTCCCTCTTTCTCATTCTCATCATGGGCGTCTCCGAGTTAAACGAGAAGAGCGAGAAGAGCGCGGTTCCCACGCCGAACCCCGTCTCGTCCGCGCGCGAGTCGACCAACGGCGAAACTACAGACAACGACAACAACGACCATGCCATTGACCTCGCCAAGGCCGACAGCAAGGTGGTCGTCGCCCCTCCCAAAGATGCCGCCGAGGCTGATCCCTACGCCCACCTCCCCGAGCGGGAGGCCAAGATCCTCCGAGACCAGGTTTTCACCCCCGAGGTGAAAGTCGGCTTGGCCACACTCTACCGCTACTCATCCCGCAACGATCTGATCATCATTGTGGTGGCCGCTCTCTGCGCGATCGCTTCGGGTGCCGCACTGCCGCTGATGACGGTCATCTTCGGTAACCTCCAGGGGACGTTCCAGTCGTACTTCACACCGGGCTCCGGCCTGACATACGACGAGTTCACTAGCGAGCTCGGGCGGTTGGTTCTCTACTTTGTGTACCTGGCGATCGGCGAGTTTGTGACGGCGTACATCGCCACAGTGGGCTTCATCTACACGGGCGAGCACATCAGCGCCAAGATCCGCGAGCACTACCTGGAGAGCTGCATGAAGCAAAACATTGGCTTCTTCGACAAGTTGGGTGCGGGTGAAGTGACGACGCGCATCACGGCGGATACCAACCTGATCCAGGAGGGCATCTCGGAGAAGGTCGGACTGACACTGTCGGCGGTGGCTACCTTCGTCGCGGCGTTCATCATCGGGTTTGTGAGCTTCTGGAAGCTGACGCTCATCCTGCTGAGCACAGTCGTGGCGCTGGTGCTGTGCATGGGGACCGTCTCGCGGTTCATCGTGCGGTACTCGCGGCAGAACATTGCGGCGTACGCGCAGGGCGGGTCGATCGCGGAGGAGGTCATCAGCAGCGTGCGCAATGCCGTGGCGTTCGGCACGCAGGACCGGCTGGCCAAGCAGTACGACAGCCACCTGATTCGGGCCGAGACCTTTGGCTTCAAGCTCAAGAGCACGCTGGGCATCATGATCGCCAGCATGATGACCATCCTGTACCTCAACTACGGCCTGGCCTTCTGGATGGGCTCGCGTTTTCTAGTCGGCGGCGAGGTCGCCCTCAGCAAGGTGCTCATCGTCATGATGAGTGTCATGATCGGCGCCTTCAACCTGGGCAACGTGGCCCCCAACATCCAGGCTTTCACCACCGCCGTGGGTGCCGCGGCCAAGATCTACAGCACCATCGACCGGCAGTCGCCCATCGACCCGTCCAGCGGGGAAGGCATCAAGCTCGAGAAGGTCTCCGGCACCATCCGCCTCGAGGGCGTCAAGCACGTGTACCCGTCGCGGCCCGAGGTGGTCGTCATGGACGGCGTGTCGCTCAACATCCCCGCGGGTAAGGTCACCGCTCTCGTGGGCGCTTCCGGTAGCGGCAAGTCGACCATCATCGGTTTGGTCGAGCGGTTTTACTCGCCCCTCGAGGGCGCCGTGTTCCTGGACGACGTGGACATCTCGACGCTCAACCTCCGCTGGCTTCGTCAGCAGATCGCCTTGGTGTCGCAGGAGCCCACTCTCTTCGGTACAACCATCTTCGAAAACATCCGCCACGGCTTGATCGGCACCAAGTGGGAGCTCGAGGGCCCCGAGAAGCAAAAGGAGCTCATCGAGGACGCCGCGAAAAAGGCCAACGCCCACGACTTCATCAGCTCGCTGCCCGAGGGGTACCAGACCAACGTCGGCGAGCGCGGGTTCCTGCTCAGCGGTGGACAAAAACAGCGTATCGCCATCGCCCGCGCCGTCGTGTCGGACCCCAAGATCTTGTTGCTCGACGAGGCCACCTCCGCTCTGGACACCAAATCTGAAGGCGTTGTCCAAGCCGCTCTCGAGGTCGCTTCCGAAGGCCGCACCACCATCACCATCGCCCATCGTCTTTCCACCATCCGCGACGCACACAACATCGTCGTCATGTCGCAGGGCCGCATCGTCGAGCAAGGCACGCACGACGAGCTGCTCGAGAAGCGCGGCGCGTACTACAACCTCGTCACGGCGCAGGCTATCGCGGCGGTCAATGAGATGACGGCTGAGGAAGAGGAGCTGCTGACCAAGGAAGAGACCGAGGGCATCCAGCTGCGCAAGTCATCGACTCGCGGCAGCACGAGCAAGGGCGCTGGTGCTGCTGCTGTGCCTGAGGATCCTGAGGACGATATTCGTGCTAAGCTGAACAAGACCCAGTCGCAGCAGAGTGCCAGTTCGATGGCGCTTGCTGCGCGTAAGAAGGAGGCTGAGCAGAAGTATGGTCTGTGGACGCTTATCAAGGTCATTGCTAGCTTTAACCGTGAGGAGTGGAAGTTGATGGTTATTGGGTTCTTCTTCTCGGCTATCTGTGGTGGTGGTAACCCGACCCAGGCTGTCTTTTTCGCCAAGCTCATCAGTGCTCTGTAAGTTCTTTTTCTCTCCTTGTTGTCACTGACTATTATTATATAAGTACACCAGAAACTGACTAACACACCCAGGTCGGTCCCTGTTACCGAGGAAAGCATCCCCACGATCCAGCGTGAAGCCTCGTTCTGGTCGCTTATGTACCTGATGTTGGCGATCGTCATGTTCATCTCCTTCGTCGCGCAGGGCGTCGTCTTCGCCAAGTGCAGTGAGCGGCTGATCCACCGCGTGCGTGACCGGTCGCTGCGGTCGATGCTGCGCCAGGACGTTGAGTATTTTGACCGCGACGAGAACTCGGCCGGCGCCCTCACCTCGTTCCTGAGCACTGAAACCACCCACGTCGCCGGCCTCAGCGGCTCGACCTTGGGAACCCTCATCATGGTCAACACCACGCTCATCGCCGCCTGTGTCGTCGCCCTCTCCATCGGCTGGAAGCTCGCCCTCGTCTGCATCGCCACCATGCCCATCCTCATCGGCTGCGGCTTCTTCCGCTTCTGGATGCTGGCGCACTACCAACGCCGCGCCAAGCGTGCCTACTCCGGTTCCGCCAGCTACGCCTCCGAGGCCATCACCGCCATCCGCACCGTGGCCGCCCTAACCCGCGAGGACGACGTTCTCGCGCAGTACCGCGCCTCGCTCGCCGTGCAGCAGCGCGCCAGCTTGATCTCCGTGCTCAAGTCCAGCCTGCTGTACGCCGCCTCGCAATCCTTCATGTTCCTGGCCTTCGCCCTCGGCTTCTGGTACGGCGGTACCCTCATCGCCCGCCACGAGTACTCCATGTTCCAATTCTTCATCGTCTTCTCCTCCGTCATCTTCGGCGCGCAGTCCGCCGGCTCCGTCTTCAGCTTCGCCCCGGACATGGGCAAAGCCGTCGAAGCCTCGCGCGACCTCAAGACCCTCTTCGACCGCAAGCCCATCGTCGACACCTGGGCCGCCGACGGCGAGAAACTCCCCGCGGTCGACGGCAACATCGAGTTCCGCGACGTGCATTTCCGCTACCCCACGCGCCCCGAACAGCCCGTCCTCCGCGGCCTGAACCTCTCCATCCAACCCGGCCAATACGTCGCTCTCGTTGGCGCCTCCGGCTGCGGCAAATCCACCACCATCGCGCTTCTCGAACGCTTCTACGACCCCCTCGCCGGCGGCATTTTTATTGATGGCAAAGAAATCTCCTCCCTCAACGTCAACGAATACCGCTCCTTCATCGCCCTCGTCTCGCAAGAACCCACCCTCTACCAAGGCACCATCCGCGAAAACATCCTCCTCGGCTCGCCCCACCAAGTCTCCGACGACCAAATCAAATTCGCCTGCCAAGAAGCCAACATCTACGATTTCATCCTCTCTCTCCCCGACGGTTTCAATACCGTCGTCGGCTCCAAGGGCGCCCTCCTCAGCGGTGGGCAAAAGCAGCGCATCGCCATCGCCCGCGCGCTGGTGCGTGATCCGAAGATCTTGTTGCTGGATGAGGCGACCAGTGCGTTGGATTCGGAGAGTGAACATGTGGTGCAGGCCGCGCTGGATAAGGCGGCCAAGGGACGCACGACGATTGCGGTGGCGCATCGGTTGAGTACGATTCAGAAAGCGGATGTGATTTATGTGTTTGATCAGGGGCGGGTGGTGGAGCAGGGGACGCATGGGGAGTTGATGAAGAGGAATGGGAGGTATGCGGAGTTGGTGAATTTGCAGAGTTTGGAGAAGCATGCTTGATTGTGCTCACTTACTCAGTGATTAGAGGTTGGAAGAGAGTCATGATATCATATGGGGGCTGGGCGGTTTCTTGTTTTTCTTTTTTTCTTTAATTATCTTGTCTTGTCATGTCAGGGATAAAACTGGCGTTGGGGGAGCATATAACTACGCATAGCCACCACTCGACCACCAGATGTAGGATGTGTTGTGGGATGATAGAGAGGGTATAGCGACGGTAGACGGCGGAAGTCTGAAAGACTCGGATAGGGTATTGTGGGATGACTGTGTACGAGGACGATAGTCACCATCTCCCCGGTTTATACAACTGTTTTAATTTGATCAAATACTTTGGTCCTGGATCTTTGTCTAGCTGGTGTTTCTCTTGTTGTCTCAAGTTTCCGCAAGTTGAAGGCGAGCTAGATGTGATTTGGCACCTTTCACTTACATAGACTTACAGCCCGCGGAGCATTCGATGCCCAACCCCGCTGCGCATCAATGGGCCGCTCCCTGGGATCCCTACTTAGTTCTCCCCTCCCCCCAGAATTGTCCACGGCAGATTTATTCCTCTTGTGCACACAGCATACCCGACCTCGGCAATCTCGCGCCCAGGGCACGCATACCACCCAACACCAACAGATCCGCCAAAGATCCTGAACATGGCTGGGCCCTTCGACGCGCGGGGAGCGAATGACGACCAGATTCTAACGGTTGTCGCTCAAGAGGTAAGATAATACAATCCGGTGCCTTGTTCATGACTGACCGAAAATAGATCGGTATATGACCGGCGGCCTCGCCCTCGAGCGCCTAGAGGCAGGAGAAGGGTTCGATTGTATGGGTATTATGGAGGGACTCTCCGACAACACAGTTGGGATTTATATGTCTATTCCGCCGGGCGAGGAGGTTGCATTCGCAGACGGCTCGCAGGCAGAACCAGGGGATTGGGTCTGTTTAATCCAAGAGCTTCCCGGAGACGCTGTCGTGGACGCAGGAGAGACCGTTATATTTGCACCTATCCTCGCAAAGTAGTAGTCTGACTTGATATGGAATCAACCATCATTTAGGCTTGCCTCGTGCCCCCCAAAACAAACCTGGGATCAAAGCCAGAACCTCGGTCAAAATAAAGCCCCTCGACTTGTGTACGAGGACGACCAGTTACCATCTCCCTGGTTTGCCCAACTGTTTTAATTTGATCCATTACTTGGTCCTAGATCTTGTTTCGCTGGTGTTCCTCTCTGTTGTTGATATGCGATTAAGTTAAAAAGGGGTGTGATCTACAGAGGAGCGTCATATAGTACCCAACCCCGCATCCGGCTCTGGGTCGCTCTCTCCTCGTCTTGGGCCGCTCTCTCCTTGCCTCTCCTCGCTCGAACAATCTGGGACAGATTTCCCTCACGCAACAAAAATATCGCACCAGGGACACCAGGGATACACATACCAACAGATCCGTGAAAGGTCCTAAAGATGTCCGGGTGCTTCGAAGTACCAGGAGCGAATGACGACCAGATTCTAATGGTTGTCGCTCACCAGGTGAGAAAGACAACGCGATCGGTGTGCTTCCATATATCCATTACTCACCGAGAACAACCAGTTCCACACGCCACCGTACACCTTTGAGCTCGAGGATGTCGACGCCGGAAGTGTAACACAAGGAATCCCCGAGAAGGCAGTTGCAATCTACATGTCTATTCCGTCGACCGGCGGTGTTTTTTTTGCAGACGGATCGCAGGCGCAACAGGGAGAATGGGTCTATATAACTCAAGCGCTTCCAGGGGGGGGTATCAGCGCCGCGGCAGGCAACGTTGTTCTGCGATATATCAACCAACAGTAGTCTGGCAGGATGTAACACGAGCTCCATGTTTCCAAATCCGGACTGAAACTAGAAACTCGGTCAAAATAAAGCACCTCCAGAGTCTACATATCCCGTCGTAAGCCCCCCTCTATACACTCATGTACATGCACGTGTTTGGCGTCTAGGATAGATAAGACCGTCCTCGAGCGGTGTTAGTAGTTATTGGGTTGTTCTACATATGAACAGGAGTCACAGTCCACGGGGGAGAGGTACCTACCCCGCAACAACCTACATACACCTGAGGAAGTTACGGCCCTATCAGAGGTAGCCCACGGCAAGCACAAGGCTGCGGCATCTTCTGAGGCCAACCGAAGTTATTCCGCACCCCGAATCTAGCAACAGCCGGAACAAGCTTGAGCCACCGCCGGCTACAAACGGGGATGCCGACGACGAAGACGAGCGAGTGTCAGTCAACGCCTATACAGCCTATTCGCACAGCCCAGATCTACCATGGCTTCCGCAGGAGGAGGCGCCTTTCACTGGTCCAGCTCATTGAACCCGAGCGCACCAGGCATGTACATGACCGCGGCCGAGCTCATCGCAATCGCATTCGAGCGGCAACGCCAGCCCAGCCGCGGCGTCGAAGGCCAACAACAAGAGCGTACAGAGCTTCCGGGGCTGTTTGCGCCAGCACCTCCTACCGCTGGAGGCTTCGGCAACACCGGAGCCGCCCCTCCTCGCCTGCCTGGCCTGTTGGACCCGAACGGGCCAGCCACAAATATGTCTGTGGCCGAGATCGTCGCGGCCGCGTTGGAGCGGCAACGTCAGTATGACCGCGCCGAACGCCGACAGGAGCGCGGAGAGCTTGTGGAGATGTTTGAGGCAGCACTCACTCGCCATAGGGATGGAGCGCCCGCGCCTGCGCCTGCGCCTGCACCCGCGCCCGCGCCGCGTAACCATTCAAGCCAATCTACAGCTGTCCAGGAGTACCAGGAGCTCATGGAGTTCCCGGAGATCGAATACGCGCCCACGGGTGTAGGATGCTTCGATGTGAAGGGAAAGAGTGAGGACGAGATTTTGGAGCTGGTCGCTGAAGATGTAAGATCATGCGATCCGTGTTTGTTCAGTGCTTACCGGGTGAAAATAGATCGGCATAATAGCGGACGACCTCGACTTCATCGACGTCGAGAACGACGGTGTTATGGAGGGAATCACCGAGAAGACAGTCGCGATATATATGTCTTGCTCATGGACCAACAATGTTACATTTGAGGACGAATCGCTGCTGAAACCAGGATATTGGGTATATTTAGTTCAAGCGCTTCCAAGACGTATCCTGTGGGGGACAAATGGCGTTGTATTTCGACATATCAACCGGAAGTAGTCTATAATTTTGTGTACATACATGTTTGGGACAATACCATCGTTGGGTGAAACTTGTCTCACGGAACATTTCAGCCCCAGCTTCCGGATCCAACCCAAACCCAACCCCTCACCTGCTTGGGCATCCATAAGCCGCTATCGCCCCGTCAGAACAGGCCGTAACAGGTTTCACTCATATAACAAAATACCGCGCCAGGGACATATATCCATTACGAACAGACCCACGAAAGATCCCGAAGATGCCCTTTAACGTGAAAGGAATGGCCGAGGACGCGATCTTAGTCCTGACCGCTCTGGAGGTAGTTAAGACAATTACTTACTGAAAATAGTTGGGTACGGTAACGGCGGACAACCTCTATTTCGAGGACGTAAAGGACGGTGTAAGCGTGAACGAGGGAATGTCCGATAATACAGTTGCGATGTATATGTCTATTCCGCGAAACGACTACGTTATGTTTTCAGACGGAATGTACTAAGAACCGGGGCACTGGCTCTGCACTGTCCCAGCGCTTCCCGGAGGCGGTATCCTGCTTGGGACAGAGAAGGTCATATTTCGATATATCAACGCCAAATCCGCATAACCTAGGTTGATGGAAAATCGGTCATCTCGCGGGTTCCACTCTCCAAAGCCAACTCAAAATAAAGCCCCTCCCGAATCGAGAAACATTATTTCAATCCCCCAAAACCGACGTGTCAACGTGTCAACACCGTGAAGCGGCAGTTAAGTTGACCACTCTCCTCCCACATGGCTGGCTGGCCGTCACAAGGCAGCCCTGCAGTTAGTTGGGCGGTTAGCGGGCCTCCTTTTAGGTCTCGAAAGAGAACTCTGGAAGACCAACCATTGAAGCCAAGCGCCAAGCGCCGGGCCGGGATCTCGGCGTTCTTAACACTTCAAAAGCCCAAGCTTTCCCCACTTGGTCCCGACTTTGGCATTTCCTAGTTAGTTATTTCACGGTATGGAGCTCTTAATGACTGACTGACTTTGCTTGTTTGCCACTCCCGTGTTAACAGCCTCGGCAGGGCAAGGAACTCAAACAAAGACTCAAAACGACACGTTGTCCTTCTGGAATCTTGGTTTTGGGTCTTTCTTTGTTTCCATTTGAGGGTCCGACCATTGCAGCACACCTGTAGAAACTCACTTTAGAGCATTTCAGCCCAGCCATCAAGGTTTCAACGTCCATCGCCGAACAATATCTCGATTGACCACGAATCAACGCCGGACGTTACTCTTTTACTCTTTTACATACAATTCCCGACATCCCACGCCACCTAATTACCTACCAAAACGACTCCCATTTACCGAGTCCCACCTCACTGAACACACTCGACCGAACCAAACCAAGCCAACCCAAGCCAACCCAACTTAAAATGCGTCTCGACACAACATCAACCACCCCCCTCCTAACCCTCCTCAGCCTCATCACCCTCCTCCCCTCTCCCACCCTCGCCGCCCGTCCCAAAGACGCCATCCTCCTTTCCGAGGTACCCCCCCCTTCTTCTTTCTTCCCCCTTCCCCCCTTCGCTTCCCCAAGATACTGACACATGCTAATCATCCCCAGGTCCAAACCCTAACCCTCCGCGCCCCCCACCTCACAACCTCCCGCCGCCTCCCCCCAATCCCCCAACTCAAATGCCTCTCCGCCCCCCCCCTCTGCAAGCACGCCTCGATCCTTACCCTCCGCTGCGTAAACCAAGGCTCAAGCTACACCTCGCAAGACATCGAATGGGCCTGCACAGCGCCCAGTCTGCCGACCACAGTGCGCCTGGACAGGACAGATGTGATCTGTGAAGGGTATGAGAGCGCTGATGATGCGTACGTGTTGAGGGGGAGTTGTGGGGTGGAGTATACTTTGGCTCTGACGGAGGAGGGGAGGAGGAGGATGCCGGAGTTGGATCCGGGTCGGAACGGGAAAGGCAGGAAGGGGGGTGGTGGACAAGAGGGAGAGGAGAATGATTGGGCGGGGTATTTGTTCGGGGTGTTGTTTGTGGGCGTGTTGGTGTGGATTTTGTATAATGCTTGTTTGCGGGCGGGGGAGAATAATAACCGTGCTGGAAGGGGACGAGGTGGGAATACTGACCACCGACGCGGGCCTGGTGGTGGTGGAGGAGGAGGTGGAGGATGGGGACCAGGCTGGGGACCTGGGAACGGAGGAAACGGAGGAGGAGGACAAGACTTCAACGACCCGCCACCTCCCTACCCCGGCACCGGCACCAACTACGGCACCAACAAACCCTCGTCTTCCTCCGACCAACAGCAGCAACAACAAGGCTGGCGCCCCGGTTTCTGGTCCGGACTCGCAGGCGGTACAGCAGCGGGCTACCTCGCCGGCAACCGTAACAACCGTAACCAGCAGCAACAGCGGTGGTTTAATAACAACGACCGTTACAACACCGGGGGACGTCCGGGCTGGGGGTCGTCGAATCGGGGTTCTTCGGGCTGGGGCGGCTCAAACTGGAACTCCAACTCCGGCTGGGGCGGCGGCTCCTCCTCGAATTCGAATTCTGGCTCGGGCTGGGGCGGCCGAAGTGGAGGAGGAAGCGGACGGTCGTCGAGTTCGGACTCGGTTGGGCAGCATGAGAGCACGGGGTACGGCTCCACTAGCCGGCGCTGAACAACGCAGCGGCGATAGACGATAGTGAGAAAGAAACACGGCCAAGTAACTTTAAGTGCTCAACTGGGAACAGAACGCAACATTGGATATCAATAACTGCTGGCTTTGTACAGTACACAGTAGTCCCTCACCGGAGCGCCCCCACCCCTGCCCCGAAATCCCATTCTCCCTTTCCCCCGAAACGCCGGGTCTATATCCTGCTTTTGAGAGCAAAATATAAAAAAACGAAGAAACTCATCGCAAAATCCCCCTTCTCGTCTTCTCACTCGGGAGTCTGCCCAAGTCCTCCTCATTCGACAAACCCCGTGCGTGCCAGCACCTTTGACGTAGTCGCACACCACAATATATTACATTTCGGCCGATGCATCCAGCGGACGGCCTAGCTCATACACACACATTTCCCATCGTGAATTCTCGCACTCGGTGTCGTTCTCTTTTCACTCTTCACCCTCTTTGTTGTGGGCCCGCAAGGCCAATAGTTGTTCGAACGGTGCAGCCGTACCAGCCGCATAAACCGACCTTCGAACCAGCTGTCTCCACATTGTGTTAATCTCTTCCACTGGCCTATGTCGTCCGGCCCCACTCTCTTTTTCCATGTCGATTTTCGGGATTCACACTGTCTCGCAATGAACAGCGGTTGTTGATTTACAAATGAGCAGCCATGGCGTCGTTTCGGTCGAAGGACTTGTTGCAGCTTGGGCACTTCCGCATCCGGTTGGCGATCCGATCCTCCACGCAGCCGCTGCAGAAAACATGCCCGCAGACCTTGAGAATCGTGTTCTTGAAGTTGCTGCGGCAGACAGAGCAAATGACCAAATTCTAAAAACAAAAGAGTTAGTCGGGGTATCAAACAAACGGTGGAAACCCAAAGTAAATTTATCACTCACCCTCAGTGCTTCCTCCTCCTCGGTCGAGTTGCTCTGGCACTTGGTCTTCCACTTGCTGCAGTCCTTGCTGATCTCCTTGACGTCCACCTTGACCCTTTCGAGCTCCGATTCCGCCTTCATGAGTTGCTCCTTCATGGCGGCAACCGCGCCGTCCTTGGCCTTGACAAGATCCGCCAGGCTCGAGATCTGCGACTTGCACGAGTCCGCCTTGCGTGTCGCCTCCGTGCTCAGCTGTTCCAGCCTCTTCCGCTCCGCCGTGGCCGTCGAAATCTCGTGCTTCAGCGTCGCGATCTGCTTCTCGAGGCTGCCAATAAGAGCCCGGTTCTGCGTCTCGACCTCCTTGAGTTGCGAGATGATCTCCGAGCTCTTGCCGTTCTGCGCCCGAAGCGTCCTGATCTCTGCCGACCTGATGTCCATGTCCTTCCGGGCTGCAAAGTACTTCTGGTCCGCCTTGGCCTTCTCAGCCGTAAGCGTCGCCACTCGTTCTTCAAGGTTGTGGAATTCCATAACCTTCTTGTGCCCCAGCGCCACCGACTTCTTGTACGACTTCTCCAGAAGCGGCAATTCCTTGTTGATCGCCTCGAAGTCCTTGTCGAGTTTGATGTATCGCTGTCGGAGTTCCTCGACCGCTAGTGCCTCAAGGTCTGGACGCGGGTCCGTCATGGCGGCGTCCTCGCTGGGTCGTAGCCGGTCGAGCTCAGACTCGAGCTGCGCGATGCGGTCTACTTGGACCTCTGTCAACTCCTTGATTTGTGCTAGAGCCGTCTTTTCCTGGTCCTGGCTCGCCTTGCGCATCGTCACCTCGGCCAATAGTTCGTCGCGGGCGGATCGGATACGTGTCAGGTCCTGGTCCTTTTGCTGGAGTTGGTCCTCAAGCTCAACCGTGACTCCCTGCGCCTCGGTTTCTAACTTGATCTTCCACTCGGTCCTTTCACCCCGTAGCTTTTCCGCTTCTTCCCGCAGTTGCTTGTTCGTGGCCTCCAGGTGGTTAATACGCCGAATCAAATCCTCGTTCTGTCCTTTGAAAAGCTTGAACACGTCAGTGCGCGCGTATTCTTCATCCGTCACGGCCTCCTTCTTGATCTTGTAGGTCGAGTTTTCCTCGGTCAGCGCCTTGTTTTCGGAAAGCGCGGCGTCGAGTTGCTGTTTCTGTTTCTCCACGATGGCCATGGCTTCCTGGTACTGCAGCTTGAGTGTCCCACTGTCCCCGTTTGACATGTCCGACCCGGCGCCATTCTCGTCCTTGGAAGCCGGAAGGGATGTGGCGCCAGCCAACGCTTGCTGTTCCAGTTTCTGTACCTGCGCACTCTTGGCCCGGTCGAGCTTGCGTTCCGCCTTGATGACCTTGAGAGTGGCCTTGTCGTATTGTTCTGAGAGTGACGCGTTCTGTGTCTCGAGCCGATCGACCTTGACCATCAACTCCTTCTGCTGGGCTAGCAGTGATTTCACCTGGGATTCGAGCTGCGCTACTTCCGGCTTCACCTCACCTCGCGCCCCGGAAAGCCGCTTTAGAATGGCGTCGGTCTTGGATTTGAGCGCCTTGCCTTTGTCGCCGAGGTGCTTCTGGAATTCTTTGCTGTCCTTGAAAGAAAGAGCGGAGCCTGGTGCTAGGTCCGCGGAATTCCGTGATGATGTCGCGCCTTCTACAAGGAGTTCAATTTCTTGCAGTAGCTGGGACACAAGTACAGTCAGCGGGGCCGCCCCGAATAAGCACAGACCGGATCGAACGTACCTGAAGTACCCACGCATCTACTATCCGAATGTGGTCGTCGTGATCGGTGGAACCCCTCTCAAGTTCGAGAACGCGACTTTCCAGGTTGATTTTCTCCCGCTTGTATTCCAGCATCTGCCGGTAGATGGCACCTTTTTGGTATTCCTACAAAAAAAAAAAATACCCATGTTAGTCGACTCGTTCTTCACCCATCAAAATCCAACGCGAGCAGGGACTGTGTACATCGTAGCGAAGAAGCAGCGGAGGGATGGAAGGCAGGAGGAGGAAAGGGTTGAACAGATGAAGAGGCCTGAGAGGAGCTCGGCGTGCTGTTGCCAGCAGGCGGCGCATTAGCCACAGTCAAAGGCGGGGAAGTGCCGCGTGAAGCATCGCGTTCGATGCCTGCGGGTACGGCGGTTGCTGCACAAATGGCGTCGGCATCGACGCGGCAGCGGCATTTGCCCGGCTAGGGGAAGGGCATGATGATGACGCAAGGACTGTGTCGTGTGACAAAAACTCACCTCAATCCAAGCCTCCTCTTTCATGTCGCCAGAGTCGTCCTTGGACTTGCTGCTGCCGTTGACTGCCTGTCGCTTGCTTGGTGGGTAGTCGTCGACCGCGCCAGACGCGGGTCTCTTCCTGTCCTCCATCTTCACCAAGGTGGCAGGACGGGGCAACACGGATGGCGAGGCGGCAACCGGCATCAGAAAAAGCGCAGGAGCGAGGTGAAAAAAAGGTCGATTTTTGGTGAGGGGAAAGAGGAAAGAAAACAAAGGAGTAGGGAATAATTAAAATCGTAGAGTGAATACAGGAAAAATCACGAGATGCAGCCGGTCGTCGTGAACCTCGGCGGCGCCCTCGGAAAAATGAAGCTGAAAGGCGAAAGAGGGTGAAAAGGAGCGTGCAGTTTTGGGACTGGAACGGAGAACGCAGAATGGAGAATGCACAGAGCGCCGCAGCGGCCAGAGAAAGAACGGGTCCGCCGCGTTGCATCTCGACCAAGGAAGGCTCATTTTCCACTGCTGCGGCGTGGCGCTAGGCCTCTTTGGGCCTAGTCCACAGTAGCCAATTGTCTTATCACCTCCGCCCCACGTCGCGCCGCTTTTCAAGCCTCTGACACGACCTAGAAATGCGCTGCACTGCAAGTGGGACTTTGTTCAATCCAGCACGCGTTCCTTCCTCGAAAGTCTTCGAATTAACAAATTATTTTCGAGGTTTCTTGGGCTGAAATTCTCCCCACATCCGTCTTTCTTTACGGCTTATTTCGGAACGAATCGATCCCTCATCCCTCGACGAAACCCCCCAGGTATGCGCAACCACCCGCATTTCCATCGGGAGCGAAAAGAGCCAGCTGCTGCGGGGCAGTAATTCGACACAATGTTGAACAAGAAAACCGCCTTCAAACCGAAGGCTGCAATTCGTCGCCCGGCTGCAAAGCCGGGACCACAGCCTCCATCGCGCCCTTCGACGACGGAGCCATCGGCGAATACCACACCGACGCCGCAGGAGCCGTCGTCGACCTCGCAATCTCAACCTGCCCCGCACCCGGCCGCGAGCACGGTCGTCACAGAGGATGAAGCCGCAAGCACGAAGGATCGCTCACAGGAACAGGAGAAGCCGGGCGATTCGGCTGCAGTTGTTTCTAGGCCACAGACAGGCGCAAGCTTGACCCCGCCGGTCATAGAAACACGGGCAGATGAGGAACAACCCGTTGCAGCGGTCGTTAAGGAGGCTCCAGGAAAGCAACCGGATACACCCGAAGTCGGGGGGCAAAAATCCCAAACCACTCTACCGAGCGAAGAGTCTATCGCATCAGACGCCCAAACTGTCGATGCTCCTACAGATGCCCCGCCACCAACCGCTCCACCAGCAGAAGAGCCTGCCAGTTCTACGACACATACCTCAACCAACGACCATCCAGCGCCTCATGCCGAGGACCAACCAGTTCAAGCTCGGGCGGCACAACCTGGAATTTCTAACGACGAGAACCAACAATCGAACACGGGAACGGCATCTGAATCCGCACCAGACGCTCCCCAGGCAGCAAAACCAAAACGAGGCAGGAAACGAACAGCAGCCGCGGCTGACGACGGGGACGCTGCCCAGCAAAACTCCGCTGCTCCATCAAAGAAAAGGCCACGAAGAAGAGCCGCTCCACTTCCGGGAGAGGAGGGGTACCAACCAAAGAGTACGCGGAGTCGAAAGCGCAGCGGGCCGGCAGCAGAGAACGGCGAGGCCGGGGACCGGGGTGACGAAAATACCGAGCAAGGCCAAAAGAGACCTTCGAGGACACAACGCGAGGCGACACCGCCGGATGCCGAGACTGTCGAAATCGACATTACCCAGGTCAAGATGGCCGACCTAGCGAAAGACATGCACATTGGGAAGAAATTCAGCTTGCACGACGAGCTGATGGAACGTGAGCGCGCTAAGCGTCTCCGATATAACGAGCGGAGGAAACGGCAGCAAGCCGGTGAAGATGGCGAAGATGCGGGTGCCAACGACGAAACACCGAACACATCATCGAACTCCAACAACAACCCCAGCACCAGCACCAGCGCCCAACCGACACCCGTCGCCGCGGCCCAGACCGCCGACGGCGAAGATGACAAATCGGCCGAAACCCCCGCCGAGAACCGAGCCACCATTGGTGAAACCTACCAGATCATCGACGGCGAAATCGTCCTCGATCACCGCTCCCTCCAAGTAGACCGCCACGCCCGCGCGCGGGAAGAAGCCGGCGAACTAGTCGAGGTCGAAGAAAACGACTTCACCCACCACACCACCTCAGCCACCTACCTCCGCCGCAGCCTCAAACCCCAACAATGGACCGACGACGAAACCGACCTCTTCTACCAAGCCCTCCAAGCTTTCGGCACCGACTTCGACACCATCTGCCGCATGTTCAAGGGCAAGACCCGCAAGCACATCAAGCTCAAGTTCAACCGCGAAGAGCGCGTCAACCCGGCCCGCATCACCGCCGCCCTAGTCGGCCAAAAGACGGTCGCCATCGACATGGAGCAGTACCAGCGCGCCACTGGTCAGGAGTATGAGCCGGCCCAGGCTATTTATGCCGAGCAGCGGAAGGCCGAAGAGGAGTTCCAGGCGCGACAGAAAGCCCTCGAGGACGAGAAGGCCGAGGAAGTCCGTCGCAAGAAGGAGGAGGTCTTGGCCCAGTTGAATACTGCGGTTAATGAGGAGGGGGTGAAGAAAGGTGGACGTAGAGGGCGCAAGAAGAAGGCTCCCGCTGCCGTGGGGTTGTGATGAGCTATGGGGGGGTGCCCTTCTGTATGCTTTCTTTCTTCTATCTCTCGGGGTTATTTGTCGCATTGGGTGGGTGACTTCACTTATAGTAACGGCGCGCGGTGCATCTCGGGGCCGGTGGGGTCGGTGGTTGTTTACACGGAGTCTATCCCGTCTTTCTGACGCTGGCAGAAATTGTTAACGATTGGTCGCAGCCAGGCCAACAATGAAGAAGACGAGTCGGGGAGAAATCCCATCGTTATGTTTGAAATGTCAAAACAATATATATCCGATACCCCTGTTTCCCTTCGGTTCACTTTCTACTCCGCGGTAAAGATGTATGCCGGAGGGGATAGTACGAGGAGTTTTTATAATCGAGTCCTAGGATTAACGGTAACAGCCCCCTTTGCTTGGATAAAGCAATACATTACATGAAGCCGCTGCTTGCTAGGGAGTGGTATGTTCAGTCCATTGTAGCTCTGTGTATCAAATGTTTTCACACATCACCTAGATAGGGTCCAGAAATTACCTCGGTACATATACATATGAGTATCATGCCAATGGCCCTTGTTTTCCGAAAAGAAAAGAGAGGACATCTGAATTCGCCGAGTAATTAAAAGCGTCTACGAATATAGGCAGGGCCAAGTAACATATACCTTACTCATCTTCATTATGTTTTCGCTAGCTTGTGCTAGGCTGAGTGCACCGGTCGGTGACACACCACTTCTCCGTAACCTTACACGCTGTTCCATAGTCACAAGTTCAGTTTGCAAACCAAGGCGGGGGTGGTCAAGAGGCTTTCTCTAATGGGGAGTTGAGGAGGAGCGTAAAAAAAAAAGACATGCATCGCGCCGTGTAACAGAGTCACACTCTCTTCCACCCGTCCATCCACCATCCACAACAACTAGGGAGAAAAGAGGAGAGTTGCCCCCCTGAACTATATTGAGTCCAACCGTTGTCCATTCCGAATCATTCCCATTCATGATTTACCCACGAATCCCAACGCAACCCAACGTCCCCGCGACCCTAACTTGTGCAAGAGCGGAACGGAACGCGAAGCTCAGCCCTAGCTAAGGATGAGGAAATAATGCTCGTCCAGCTCTGTCCAGCCCAGCCCTGCCCAACCTGTCCCAACCCTTCTTGCTATGTCACACTCTGATCCCTACGATGAGAGATCGCAAAGAGGGGTGAAAAAGAAAAAGGAAAACGACCGGGAATCATAAACCCTTTCCACCTATTAACTCCAAAGCACGATTATAAGGAGAGAGATCAATGCATGTCCTCGTCATCATCGGGCTGGTCAAAGAGGAAATTCGCGGCGAGCTCCTCGTTCTTGTCGCAGGCAAAGTAAGCTTGGATAGCCTGGTCTTGTGTGAACCCTAGACGGGTAAGCCTCTCAATGGCGTCGCGCTCTTCCTCGGTGACGGAGATCTGGTGGGCTCCGGGCGGGAGCGGGGCATCGTCGTCTCCACCCGCCTCACTAAGGAGGGAGAGGAACTGCTCGGGGTTCTGGGCGATCAGTTGGGCGAGCTGAGGGTTACCGGCGCCGAGCTGTTGCAGAATAGGTTCGAGCATCTGGGGCTGTTGCTGGACCAATTGGCGAAGTTGTTGGAACTGTGCGTTGGCTCGGAGCCCCTCAAGGTCCCCAAGGCCCTCTCCACCACCGCCAGCGGCCGCAGCAGCAGCAGCAGCGTCGGCGCCACCACCCCCACGCGCACCGGAGCCACGCCCTTGCTGGGCCGCGAGATCGAAGAGGTTCACGTTGGACTCATCATCGGCGTTGCCACCGGTAGCGGCAGCAGCGGCCGGAGCGGGAGAGGATGCGGCCGGCGCAGCTTGGCGGGAACTCGAGGATTGTTGAAGATGGTCGGGAATGCCCTGTCACAACCGGAGTATTAGCACCACCCACCGAGCACTCACAGACAACAATAACAACAACAACGGGGAGGAAACATACCGTCAGGAGATACTCAACCGCACGATCCGGGTTAAAGAACGCAGCGCGCATGGCCGCGTCGATCTGCGAGCGCTCAAAGCCCATGGCCTCCATGTTGGCAATGGCCTCTGCGCGCTGCTGGCCCATAGCCAAAGCATTTGGGTCATTGGATGCCGCCTCAGGAGCGGCAGCTCGGTTCGGGGTCGGTGTGGACGGGGCCGCAGGGGCGGTGCCGGAAGACTGTGCGGGGGCGGCCGGAGCGGCCGGGGTAGACGCTTGCGCGGGAGCGGGTGTCGCGGGAACGGCGGACGAAGACGACGCCGCGGCAGTGGCAGCGGCAGCAGGAGCCGGCTTGGGCTATAAACAGAAAACACCGTTAGCAATGACAACCACGCTGGGCCAATGGCTGTTTTGTCGCACGTACCTTGTTCACGACACAGACAACGAAGCCCTTCTCCTCAATCTTGTAGGTCTCGACGGTGTCCTCATCTTTGAGAATCTTGCCTAAAAGACACCAGAGTAAGCTAACAACTCACACAACAACACATCTCAAGGTACAGCTCGACATACCGGAGTAAATCAGCTTCTGGAGCTTAGGATCCCAGCCCCGCTCCTCCGAAATCCTCTGCTTGACAGCCGAGATCTAGGAGCTTGTCAGCATCTCAACTTCAGCGGACGCAACTCCAATCTTCGACGCTCTTCGTTCCGGTATTCCGTCCTTCATAAGTCGCGGGTATCGCTCGGTCGGAATATCGGGCCAAAGCGCATTTCGTAGTGGCAGGACAACCGGGCCGAGGCGGAAGCCCGAGCGCATGTTTGTTTGGCCGGCGAAGACACGAAGAGGGGTAAAAGCGTTGAGGGAACCTACAAGATCGGTCGGCTCGACCTCGAGCACGAACTTTTGCTGCTTCAGATCCTAAAAAACCAAGCAACCCATCAAGTCAATATTGGAATATCGTAGCGAGACACAGAATGTGGTGAGAAATTCGGCGAGGCAGTTGCGCCGAGGCACCGGTACATTGGGGAGCGCGGGGTTGGGGTGCGCTTGGGCAAGAAGCGAGAGCTATCGCTGCGAAGCACAGCTAAACAACGAACGGGCCAACCGTACCTTGAACGTCACCTTCATGATGGGCAATCTGGGTCGTCGCCGATTATCTAACTCGTAAGGAAAAAGAATCGGGAAATGGGTCCGCGATGTGTTAGAACCGGGAAGGATTTTGGGTTCGGAGGGCCGTTGAGGTTGTTTTTGGAGAGCTGGAGGTTGTCTTCTGAAGGGTGGGTAGTAGTTATGGCGGTTGATGTGGCAAAAGTAGAAGAAGGCAGCAGACAGCCAAGCCCGTTTTGGAGCAAAAGAGTGGGGAATTTGGGGGGCACGCGGCCGCTGACGCCTAGCAGCTGTGGGCTTTGGCGCCCGCACATGTTCTTTGCTTTGGCCAGCGGGGTGCCTCGCGATGCCCCACTCGGACAGGTCCCTTCTTCAACACCAACAACGCATCATCGAGACAAGGAAACAATGAAAGTATCCATTGCATGTGTCGAATGAAATTTGTGCCTTTATAGAGCCGAGAAATTCTAAAATAACCAATTGGGACTCCCACGTTTCTCTGTAGCATTCTCAGAGCGCACAATCCACCGGTTCAGTTTAATCAAAATGAATTCACTCTTTCTATACTCGTAACTCCAAGGTCATCATCGGGCGATGGGCCCCCTATCGCCTTTCTTCTTCCCTTCCCTCCGTCCAAATCCAACGCCGCGCTAAGTATCAATTCCTCTTTGGTATCATCCCCCCAGCTCCGCACCTCTAACCATCATACCCAAAATCCCGTTCATATCTCCCCAAAACAAACAAAAAGGTTTTTCAGATACCCGTGAGCCCGACCGACCGACCGACCCAGGGTATCAAAGTCATGAATCATCATGGGTGTTCCCCGACATTGGCAAGCCAGGTTGCTTGCCCAATTCCTAAGCTCTTATAATCCCAAGCTCTTAACAGACTCAACTCAACTCAACCCCTCAACCCGGTCTCCAGCCCAGCATTGAGCACATAATCCGGAATCGGCGGTGTCATCATGCGCTCTTCATCCTCCTCCTCCTTCCCCTCCATTTTCTCCTTTCCCTTCTCCTCTTCCTCCTCCTCTTCTTCTTCCTCCCTCAACTCCGGCGACCCCGACCTCGACCTCCCCCGCCCTGACGCTGCACCCGCCTGCAGAAACGACTCACACGAATTCGCCCTACTCAGCGGGCTCGGCACCTGCGGCTGGCTCTCGCTGCGCAGCCGCCGCAGGCTCTGAATACTACGGATGCTGTGCTTATCCGACGTGGAGATCACCTGTCCCGCGTTAGGGGCCGCAACGACCACCGTACCGGGCGTGGCGCTCGGCGGGGCTGGCGAACCGGAGCGGAAGAGCGGGTGGATGTGGGCTTCGCTTTCGTCTGCCGCTGTTGCTGGAGTTGAGGAGGCGGTGGGGGTTGATGGGGTCGTGGTGATGGGAGGTGAGGGCAGCGCGGGGAATGCGGCGCGTTGCGCGTGGATGGTGCGGGTGGATACGGGACTGTAGCTGCGGCTGCGACGCCTCGCCTGTGGTGGCTCGAGGATCTCACTGGTGTTGCCGGGACTAGGGCTGCGGCTGGTGGTCGGGCTGGCAGGGATGGTCTCGAGGAAACGGCTCGGTTTCGGGGACGACGACTCGAGGACTGTCTGACGGTTTTCCGGGTCGACAGCCGAGGTATCCCAGGAGTCGAAGCCGACCTCGGAAAAGCGGGATTGGCGCTCCCGTTGCGAACCAAGCGTGTCGAGAGACGCCGGCCGATGAGACGACCGACGGCTGGTGGTGGAGAGTAAGCGAGTCTTGGATGTGATGGGGCGGATGGCTTGGGAGAAAGTCGAATTCACCGTCTCGGCCGTTGAGCGGCCCGCGCTTGAACCAGGCGGCGTCTGAGAGTCGAACGAGCGGCTGCTGCGCTCCTTGCTAGCCAAAGCCGGGGTCGCCGTGTTGTGGTACGGTACGGTCTTGATCCGTGGTCCCAGTCTACTGTTGACGTGCTCGCTCAACCTCGCAGCATCTGAGCGAGACTTGAGCGACCTTCCCGCAAGGAAGTGAAACACAAAGAAAGCCAGCTGCGTCGCAAACGCGAATCCCAACGCAACCGAAGAGCCCACCAAGAAGTCCTGCGCCCCTAGCCTCAATATCGTGCTGCGTGGGTCGTTCACCACCTGGCTGAGACACACGATGCTCGCCACCGAAACAACGGACGCCACGGCACATAGCCCGAGGCCTGCGGCGAACCATATCCTCCTTGCAACCTTCCACCGGGTACTAGGCGCCCATGGAACGACGTGGGATAGACTGAGAAAGGGAAGAGAAACAAAGAGAGCGCCTTGGAAAATGGTGGCCGCGATGGCCGCGGCCCTCACTGATGGTGCCCGGTCTTGAGGTGATCGGGCCAAGATGATGTGGATGCCGAATATTGCTGTCGTTGGGAAGAAAGCTATCGCGCCCAGCGCGGCTGGGACGTTGGGAGATATCGCCATGTGCCCGTGGTGGAAGCCGTTGTGGCTGTTGTTGTTGTGTTGATTTTCAAACCTCCCGATATCCTAAAATGCTCGGGACGAGTGTGTGAGACAAGTCCTGGCGGAGCCTGACGACGTGTGATATGTCGAAGGTCTTCCCTTGAGTGCGCCTGGTTTTCGGATGCGGTGAATGGAGGGCAAACGGAGGCCTGCGTGTAGCCGTCTGGGAAACTCGCCTGCTGCAGCACTGGATCTGACCGCCTGTTTCCTTCCTTTCTCTTCTCACGAAAGGCCCCAAAGCAAGCTCCAATGACGATAACGAAGGTGGATAGTGGATAAGTGGCGGAATAAGAGAAGCTTCCCGGTCAACCGCCGTGGTTGAGGGGAAGAAGGGGGTGCGCGGTACTGAGATAATAAAGCCGGGTTTGCTGGTTTTATCAGCCGTCTTCATGTGACTGGGTCACTGGATCTGACGCCGAGACCACGGTAATGGTGATGGGAATTACCAGGTCTCTTATGCCGTCTTGTATCGAAGCCCGGATAAGGCAGTGGAGGGAAAGAAAACCGGGCTGAAGGTCGAGGCAAATCAGGCAGTGATGTTCGATATGTGGATGTCGAATCCGGTCTTAAAAGAGGGGAGGCCGCTGAATATCCAAGGCGGACGAAAGGCGGAAAAAATGAGGGACAAGGCTGAATTGGCGGGTTGAGAGCCGTGATATATTCCAGAGGAAAAAAAGTAAGATGTGTGAATGTGGGCGGAAGACGCTGACAGCCGACAGACAGTGGCGAGAAACCCGTTGTGTTACTTTCTTGCCCAAGCAAGCAGGTGGGACTGGAGAAGGGGAAAAGAAGGATATCCTCTCACAGCTCGAGCTGGTGAGTGAGTGGGTGAGTGAGTGTGAGTAAGTGACTGTAAGTGGAGGGTAAGAAAGAAAAAAGCAAAAGAAACAAAATCTGGTATTCGTCGGCCCCAGTCCGACTCGATGTGGGCGACCCGGCTAAATGTAGTAACCACACAACTGACACACAAACCTCGACGCGTTCGGATCGCGTGGAACCCCCCCCTCCATGTCGATTTGTTGTTCGTCCCGTCCCTCCTCTTCTCCGCCCTAGCCCTGAAGCAGCCTGGTTGGGATGGAGGGATGCTGTGCCTGGCGAGGAACCACGCAATGCAGTGCCTTCGTCCGTTGTGGAGGGGGGGTGGAACCGCAGGCCATGCCCTGGCAGGGATCTCACACCCCCTCCCTGGTCCCCGTTGCGTGATAGCGAGCCCCGCCGCTGGGGCCTCGACCAAGTCGTGTCCAGGGTTGTCGCTCCGAGAGTTTGGACCCGAGGGTTGCAGTGCAAAAACACGCAGAAAAAGAAGGCTGATCGGGGCCGATCTGTGCAGGACACACGAGGATCGTGACCTTGACCTCGTTGATGGCGACAGCAAGGTGTCCCTTTGACGAGGTGTTTCATGGTGAAATGCTGGAGCTCCAACAACCCCGCCTTTTTCTAAAACAATTTTGTTTGTGTTGCGTTGGAGTCCCAATCACCTCTGTTCGGCCCCAAGAAAAACATAATTGGGTATCGTGGGCTATTGTTGGTTCGCAAGCTCCCTCCCATTGCTGCCAATCAATCGGCCCCGAGGGCGACTGAGTTTGCCGTGGCCACTGGAAGCTCGTCCTGCGGTTGTTGGACGTTGGATGCTGCTCTAGCCTTAAATTGACGTGGTAGCCAACACGCAAACTCAACTCTCAAGTTGCAATCCGTCTGCTCCCTTCATCGGAGTCGAGGCAACTCGGACATGCATGCCAGATTCCGCCGGGCAGGTGAACCAACATGATATTACTGTGTACACGGAGTCTGCCGCCCACCAACCTCCAGGCGTCGAACAACCAGTGGAGGCTTAGCATTTTGACCGACCGCCCGCGGTATATCAGTAAAAACCCGCAAGTTGGGGGCCCGTCGAGGCGAATCCCTTTCCTCTCCCGCTGCGGCGCGTCCCGCAGCCCTCAAACTGCGCCCTTTTTCTTCCCTTCACGACGGCTTTGTCGTTTGCTGGTTTTCTCCATGCCCCGAGCCCTTGCGATCCGTTCGAACAATGTGAAGTCGCTCCATTCCCTCCCTTTTTTGCGATTTTTGGGGGTGGCTGCTCAGTTCGTGCACTGCGGCAGCGCCTCTGGGTGGTGTGCCTGCCGGTGCCAAACATCGTTCCCACCGGATTTGGAAACAACTCCGTCAACAACAAAAGGGCCTGGACACACAGATCGCCGCACTGTCTTTCCAGAAAACACCTCGGAGCGAGATGCCAAGAACCCTGCTCGATCGGGTGGAGAAACCGAAAAATAACCCTGGATCTCGCGAATGGACACAAAACAGTTCGCTGGGTTTTCGGGAAACCCGAGAAATCATTACAACCCTTGCTGGCCCTCGAAGAGAGGACCGAAGAGAGCGAAAGAAAGAAACATAAATCCCACATTGTGGCCTGGCCCAGAAACCAGTCAAGGGAGAGAAAGAGAGCTGGCCGCCAAACCCTCCGAGTCGTTCCTTCGGAGCCAAACTTTTACGGACAGTGCGATCAGAAACCGATGAAACAAGTTCAACTGTGCGCGAAGCCTTCCATTCTCGGTCTAGCGCCGGAAAGCCGGTTGCACTGGCGCAGGTACCAAAAGCCTTTGCCGAGAAGGCCCCACCGCAACCCACAAAATCCACACCAGGGCTGACTGCCACCTGGCAGCCTGGCACACAGTGCACACCAAAAGAAGAAGGAAAGCGAGCAGATCCAACGGCCCAAGCTCCAGGCTTGCCAGGGACACCCGAGCGTTCCTGACGAGTGACGACGGAGTTGGAAATCTCTTTTTCGTCGTTTGCGCTTTTTTTCTTCGTTTTTTTGCTCTCTTTTTTTTTTTTTTTGCCGCCATGGCATAAGCAGTACCGAGCGGCCCGTTCCATCCCGGGTAAGAGAGACAATGCTTTTCGTCCGTGCTGCCGCAGTCCGAATACACAGACACCCGTGAGCCCGAGGACGGAGTGCAAGGCAATTTTTCCTCTGAGGTCGCAATGGTCGACGTACTTCCAGCGCTCCTGCATCTGAAGAAGTGACTGAGTGACTCAAACCACTCAACGATGAGTCTTCTACTCGTCAATTGAACCCCATCGAAGATGAAAAAATAATTGAGGAAAAAATTACTGTAAAAAAAGAACAAATTTTTCCTCCGAACAACCCGGATGTCAGACGGGATTTCGGTGCGGAGTACACTACACTACATACATGGGACCACACCGGTCAATTTGACATCTGGCAACGGTATCCAACCCCGACAGGTATGAGGATTACTCAGTCGGAACTCAACCGCACACAGCATCAAGAAAATAACTAATCCAAGATGGAATTGGAAAGCGGAACGTCAACGACTGACAAAGCTGGGGACCGCGCGTCGAAGCTTCGCTCCGCTGCCCCACAATTCATTTCCCCCAAGGCCTGCAGCCGCCTCGGGGCCGTTGTCAGCTGCTGACGTCTTTCGGAATACGCACCCTGGCCTCGCAAGCCGAGCCGGAGCTCGAGCTGAGGTATTTTATTAGATTTTTTATTTTTTTTCCTTTCCGGCGCGTGCGGTCGCCGCCGAGGGCCGTGATGTTGCCCTGCGCAAGGGCTGAGCGATGGAGAAAACACTCCGCCGAAGTCCGCTAGAAGGTTTTTCCTTTTTGAAGCTAACGCTGATGAGGGAACATCCGAACCATGGGCGGCAGGGGCTCTTGTTTTACCCTTCTAAGCTTCCTTGCGAACTGACACATACTAATCGGGTAGGAATGCACGTGCAGTAGAATGTGACTCCTCCTGTTCTTTCGGAGCTGCTCGTTCGGGCAGATAAAGTCGGCTGAGAAATCCATTCCAGGCGGTTGTCTCGACGGACAGACTTCATTGTTAACCGAAGCTCAGGCCCTCAGTTTGGAGTGGAAGTAAGAAGCGTCCGAGTAAGAACCCTCAGATCGTGACCGTGCAACCACAGCTTCCTCATCCAGCTGGATTTGTTTCATCCCACGCTGAGGCCGCTTCTGGGGGCCCGAGGGCAAACCTTCTCGGCACTCCTGGATCGGGGTTTGTGGGCCTTTATCAGCCGGCATCTCAAGAGACAGCCGGTCTGGTCAGGGATGACGATGTCAGAGCCCGAGGGAAAGTCAGGTTCACCAACTGGGGATTTTCCACCAGACAACTCCACTACACAGTACACTCGTGGAGTGTAGTATATGGAAGCGGCTGTGCTCAAGTGAAATGGGGCGTCTCTGTTCCCGGCCCGCCGGCCTGGCCCGAAGACAAACAAAACAAAACAAAAACAGCTTTTGGATCTAAGACATCTCAGATCGATCGGTGCCATCCCTTCCGTGAGGGTTTGTCAGCTTCAAGAAGCAGTCAGAAAACAGTTACTGTGTAGTCGACACGACTTCTGCGTATGTACACTAACTAGGGGGCCTGGTAAAAAGAACTTCGTCTTGACTAAAATAAATAAAAGTTGAGATATCAGGAGGTAAGCGACCGACAGGGTCTTGATCGAGGCTGACTGAGGACAGAACTCGTTCTCCCAAACCCTGGTCTCGCATCGGCCGAACCAAGCATCATCGCAGGGGCAGGGGAAGACTCTGCTCGGAGAGAATTTTGGCTCATCCTAGTAGCTATCTTGTTGCGGATGGCGAGGAGTTGCCGTTGTCACCGTCCATTCGGTTAACTTTATTTTTTATTGGGCAAAGAAATGGATGTTGAGCCTATGAACCACAGACTCATTGCACACCGGTTGTGTTTGTCGCGAGTCGTATTAAGCAGGGCTCGTTTTCTTTGTCAAAGTCTAATACCGGCGGGAACCGTAGTCGAATACTGTCTAAATACAAAGTAAACGAGGCAAATGCAGATCTCCCTATGAATCTTAGACGCAATCTGCATTTCTGACGAGCTGAACTGAACCTTGGGCCGGGGAGCCAGCTTTGTCTAACATCGTACATGTACTCTCGCAAGGGAAGCAAGGAAGTAAGTCAGTCTTCCACCACCAGCACTGCGTCCTCCGAACAACCCCAAAATAATCTCCCATAAAGCAACAGAAAAAGCACCCCATCACCAAACCAGCCGCATATACCTTCATTCATACAACCCCAAACTTTGATTCCCATTGGCAGCCAAACTCCGGTAACTCCAACATGCAGCACAAACCCACCAGCCACATCGTGCCAGCACAACACACATGAGAGCGACGGGACCAAAGCCAAATCCTCTGGTTGGCTGGGATTCGGAAAAGGGGGAAATGAGTGGGTAAGCCTGCTGTGGTACATACATACAGCAAAGAAAGGATAAGTTGACGTCCAGCGACGGCGCAGTCAGACGGGGATTCTGGCCAATGCCGGTGTGCGCCGCATCGAATGGTTGAAGGGAGTGGGATTGTGATTGGCGCAGGTGAGAGGAAAAAGCTTCGTTCGGATTGGACATCCGGACTTTGGGTTGGTTTGATGGGGGGGCTGCGACGTCCTTACAATATTGAGTTTGTTATTTGAGAAGAGACATCAGAGTGATGGGGAGGAATGAGCAAAGTGTGAAGGAAGTTTCGAATTAGTTTATGCTCCTTTGCCTACAACCTTCCTGAGAGAAAAAGGAGATTTATGTGGGCGAGGCATCTAATTGCGGACGAAAGCAGTTACCAGAGTCAAGGCAGCAAACGTTGAGCCGTAGAGGTACAGGGAGCGGCGTTACCTGCCATTTGATCCCCGGCAAGCAGGATCTCATGTTGGGACACAATTAAACCGATTTTCATTCACCCGTCTGCGTCAATATAAATTACAATTACCAGACAAGGTACACGCAGCCCCCCCATTGCGTTCGAACCGACCGCAAGATCTCTCTTTGTCGTACATGAATCTTACAACTTCATCACCGTATACCATCCCATTAAACATCCGCCACCACCTGGGCTCTCTCATAAAAGTAGAGAAAGTAGCCCAGGAGTGATATAATATCCACCAGAAGGTAGGTCGTTATTATATAGGATCAAAAATCATGAAAATGGGACTGGTATGAAGAAGAATCGGACGTGAGAAAGGAAAAGTAGGAGAGCAGGAAATCTGATGTAGACCCTGTAGAGGCGGCTGAAACGAGGAACAAAGGGCTAATCAAAAGGGAAAGAGGCGAAAGAAAAAAAGGAAGTAAAAGAAAAAGCGAATCATAAGTCGAACGAGGGGAAGAAACAGGATCATACGTTGAAGGAGTGGAAGATCGATAGGCACGCTTTTAGGCCGTCTAAAATCGTTGTCGACTCATTAAGAGAACAGAAAAGAAAAAAAAACATGCAGTGTCGTGCTTGCTCGTACGTTGCTCGTGCTCGGGCCATGCCGTGCTCACCACCCAGCCGCATACGGTCGTGTGTCATTTCTAGTCAACGTCGGTGTTGAAAGCGAGGCGTAAATGGGCGGGGGTAATCGTAAAGGTGTCCCTGTAGAGCCGACCGTAGCGTCATTTTTGCCATTACCCTCTCGTGCTGCTGCTACTGCTGCTACTGTTGTCGCCGCTGCTGGTGTCGTATTTTGTCGTGCTGCCGTTTTTCGGAAATCCAAGCTTGCAAAAGGATTCGATGTGGAAAATAAGATAACGAAGGGGCGTGTCTCCATGGCTGGAAAGGGGGGAAGAAGGACGGAAAGAAGAAAGTCCTCGTCATGTCTTTTCGTGCGGTGGCCATCCCAAGATAACGTGAGAAAAGGGTTCCTTTGTCCACTGATAAACGTAGCTGAAAACCGTGGGAACCTCTGCTAGCCCCGTTACGCCCTAAACGGCTCGGTCGTTGCTATCGCTGGCTGGCTCTCTTTCTTTACCGGCTCTGTAGCACTCGGCGGCGGAGTGGACGCAAACCGGCGCGGCTCCGCCGAGCCGGCTCGCATGAGATCCCTCGCAGGTGGGAGTGGGCTTCGTGGCCGTGGCAAAAGCGGGCGGTCCCGCGCCTGACCCTCGGCCCCGAGCAACTGATAATTATCTCGGCGGCCCGTCTCCTCGCGCCAACTTTGAAATTCCCCTCCCGACATGGCTGGAGACCTGAGAGATGGTTCCGGAGCTGCCATACCTTGCGTCGGCCGGGGCGCGATCTCGGGTAGAGGCTTCTTGGATCGTTTGACTTCGGGGTGCCCTTGGGTAGCCTGATGCTGGTACGTCGTGTGGGTTTGCAGACCGGGACTATGCGGTTGTTGCGATTGGCCTGTCGGTGCGGGAGAAGGGGCAATATGAGCTGGCGTCACGTTCTGCCAGGCGCTCTGAGCCGATTTTGGTGGACGCCCGCGTTTTCGAGGCGGCGGCGTGGGGTTGTACGGAGAAGTCACCGCTGGCGGGGCAGGAGCTGGAAGTGCTGGCGAGTAGCCGTTGGGTCGCTGCTGGATATTCACCGGGGGTGGTGGTGGTGGTTGCTGGTGCAGGATCGAGCCCGGCGTAAACCCCCGCGGCGACACCTCGCCGGGAGACGCGACAGCCTGTCTTTTGGGGTAAGGGTCTGGAAGGTCGCCAAGCGATTTACGCTTCAGCGAAGAGATTATAGGTGGCGGCATGGGTGTGTCGAACATAACCTCCGCCGCATGCACACACTGGCTCATGTTGCGTCCTGCAGCCGCCGGTTAGTGTTCCGCCCGTTCTTGGGCCGGGTTTGAGACCTAGGCTTGGAGCCGGCCGTAGCATCCGAACTTACCTCCGGGAAGCTGCATGTGCATCCAGTCTGGTTGGATGCCATGTGACTTGATCAAGTTGACGAGGACACCCACGTCCAGCTCGCTGAGCTTGATCATCTCGGCTAGCACGAAGCGCTGCGGCCGATGGAGTCATAGTTAGGCTCATGTGAACACTGGAAAGTGGGGGTTAAGCGACGTGTGGTGGTAACGCACCTTTTCGGCGTCATTGAAGACGGACTCCATGGTTAATGAACGGAAAGATCGGGGCCCCAGGGTAGCGGAGGAAAGGAGGGTGAAGAAGTGAAGAAATGGGCCACAAGTTGCTGGTATTCGTTCATTTGACGAGGTGACGTGATGTGTCGCTCGGTGAATGAGAATGGATGAGGTTCAGGCCTTGCTCGACTCGTGGATTCTGATTTTTTGCCCGGCTACTTGGAGGCAGAGGAGTAGCGACACCACGACACTAGGGGACCAGGCGTCTTGGGGTATGTCGAAGGTAATGAGGCAACGTAGGGCGAAAGGCCGCACGGGTGGTGTGTGTGAGAGACCGGCTTCTTGAAGGGCGATTGAGGTGTGTGCGTCGCGTTCCAGCAGTTTCGACAGCTTTAGCAGCGGCGAGGAGAAGAAAAAGGGGTCAAGAGAGAGAGTGAGAGAGAGCGAAAAGACGGACGACCGAGACTCTAAGGAATAAACGAATGTCGAGTGAGATCAGATCCGCCTAGGGCGAGACCGTCAGCGCAGGAGAGCCGCCCGGGAGAAAGACAACATCGGGGGTCAAACTTCAGAAAGGTCGCGCAGTGGGAATTCGAGTGGTTGACAGGTGGGCGGATCTGGGCAAAGGGCGCCAAAGACACACGCGAAGCCGTCCGAAGCGCGCGTCTTGTTGCTGCTGGGTGCCCGCTACTGCTGCTGCGTTGCTGCAGAAAGGGGGCCTGAACGTTGCAAAACAAGCGACCAGAGTCCCACCGAAACCCACTGCACAGTCTGTCTGCCTCTGCGAGGCTGCCCGTCCAAGCCGTCCCCCGGTCGCTACTGCCCTTGTTCTTGCGCTTGCTGATTGTTCCGGGTTGTTTTGCCCGAGCGTCAGATGGATGCGCACCTAGCCAGTCTCGCAAGCCGGGAGCGAAGTCCGCAAAGTTTGATTCCTAGGTTTCTTCCCGTCGCGTAACTCTCGAGTGGCCCCTTTCTCCTTCAGGATTTCTCCTTCGGTGCCGTCTTCCCTGCATCAAACCCGCGGATGCATGAGGGCGTTAACTTTGAGCCATCGCCACGCTTTGTCTTGGGTCAACACCACCCCAGATCTGGCATGATCATCAGCCGCCCGCGACCTCCAATGTCTTTGATCCAGTGTGGGCTGTCGGGGGGCGCATCTGGTCGTCTGGTTTTTTTTGGGTCCATTTGCGGTGTCTCACAGGCCATGCAAGCTGCAGCCGGATCACTTGACAGTTCAGGTGGCTAATAGCGTGAGCTCGGCCCCGGGCGAGATGGTGTGGACATCAACGCAACAAGTCCTGCTCGCGAGACGGGGAAAAAACAATGCCGGCCGACTAGTGTAAGGGCAAAGAAGGGAATCCGACAGGTTCCATGTTCTTCAACAAGCACATCCGTTTATCGCGTCCGAACGGTCTCTCGAGCATCCTCAGGCCAGCGGAACCGCAGCGGACACACGACGGCCAAAACCCACCCATATTTTCCCCACCGTCGACCTTGCACACAACGCTTTTAACCGTTCTGGTGCTGACTGATCCTGACCGGGACTCTGATCCGAGAGCGACTCCAGCGGCAATGGAAGCGGGCGCCTCAAATGCAACCCACGATTCTCGGACGCGACGGGTCTCTTCTCGCCGTGCAGAGGTGAGCGAAACACAACAAGCAACCCAGGTGGCTCTGGAATGGGAACGAAACAGCCCTAGGCCCAGACTGACAGGCCTCCTTCCAAGTTTGGAGACGTGCGTGGGTCGAGGTGTGTCCGATCTCGTCCCCCCAACGGCGACATTGAAAGAGAGGCGAAGGGAGGGGTGTGCGCCCACGGTCCAGCAGTGCCGGGGATGTATTCTTTTCCCGCAGGTTGTTTGAATGCAGCTTCCATCCTAATGAATGGGCGATTCTGGGCGCGCGGGTCCAGCTGCATCAGGGAGCCGACGTGCAGCTGCCCGCACATGTGACCCCCCCTAGGGGGTGTCTCCTGCTCTTCCATGATAGGATGCGGCGATTCTGGGGAAGGTGCTGCATGCCCCTCCCTTGAGATTTCGGCCTGACCAACAGCCCAATCTCGGCCCGAGCTTGCCCTTGTTCGATGTTGACCGCATCCCGGGGAAGTGGCGGCCGAGACATCGACCACGGTCTCGAAGGCGAGGGCAACAACATGGACATCCCTAGCGTTTCCTGGTGTTTCTGAAGTGAGGTCGACGTCCTTTCAAACACTCGGCGCAATTGGCTCTTTCCAGAACCAGGCGCCAGAGGGGGTCCCCACCGGGCCAGGAGGTGGAAGCGGCCCGCTCAGGCGACCCATTGGTTGCATCGCGGAAGACTGCTCGCCAATGGCAGCGGCCGGAATCGTCAGTTGAGCAATCTCACAGGCTCGGGTGGGAGATCGATCTGGTGTTCTCGAAGAGCCGCATCGATTCGTGAGGATCTCGGTGGGGTCAGTGCTGTCTGAAGAGAGGCTCAAAAACGTCATTTAGTTGGTGATGCTTCTCGCGAGTTGCGCGCTATGTTGTGCTGTTGGTGAGACTTTGTCGGAGCGCCGCTTTTTTGTCGGGCCATCAAATCATCAGCGGCCGAGGGCGCCCCAGGTCTTTAAATGCGTGCCCTTTGGGCTTTCTTTTCTTGGGCATCTGCTCCACCCGGCCTTCCTGCACGATGAGCTGGCAATGGAATGCGGCGATGGTCTCCAGGTTCCTTCCGGGTTACAAGCTATATAAAGGGAGGGTTTGGACTGGACCGTCATGCCGTCTCTGCCCTGCCCGGAACGCGTGTCGGGCGGTATTTCTGGTTTCTGGTTCGCATGTCCGTCCGTTCCATGCACACCGCTCCGATCTGGCTGCAAGGATCCGTGCGAACGGAACCGAAGGGCCTTGATGGCGATGATGGCTTCATGGAACCGTTGCAGAAACTTTACTCGCCCAAGCGAGCCCAACGAAAAGAAGAATAGTCCAGAGTGCCTGACCCGGCTAAGCTCAACTGCGCCACGGGCAGGTTGCTCGGAACACTCGACTTACGTTAATGTGATATACTTACTGCTATGCAACTAGTAGTTGGCCTCGTCAGAGATCTATCACTCCACTTTGTGTGAGTGGATGATTACGGTGCCTATGGAAGCAATAAATCATAGTTACGGCGAACGGGACAAAGAATCAAAGGCAGCGTGCACCTGCATCGCAGAGCTGTAGAGTTTATTACCCTTTCGTCAAATCGCTGGGCCACGCAATGTAGGCTGACGATGAATGCAAAAACGTCACAATAATCGCCGGGATGGAAAAAGCCCGACGATGAAGCCCGTAGGTCCGTGGGGTTTGCATGGCCGTCGCGGGATGTTGCGCGGAATATAACCGGACCGTGCAGTAGATAGCCCCACCTTTTCTTGCCTGTTGGAGGTCGGCGGATTGGCGTCGCGCGCCGTCTCTCAGCCTACATCGGGGCACCGTCTTCAAACCTCTAAAAAAAAATAAGGAAGGAACGCAACCCGAGAACCGCAACGTTCAATTGGCATGCCGGCTGTGAGATACAATACCCACACTGCTATGGAGAACAATAGGCTTCAATAGGTTCATTCTCTTTTTTGGGATGCGACGGAATCCACGGCCCCTGTTTACCCTCCAAATCGCTTGGACCCGCCCTTCGATTCTGGTCCCCATGTCGCATGCCCGTCGCGCACCAGCAGAATAGCTTCCTCCTAACATTGCCGGGCCCTTTCTTCTTTTTCTTCTTCTTCCTCCTCCTCCGCTCACACTTTTTCTCGCCGCTCTTTTCCCGATATTTTCTTCGAGGTATCACGCTCCGTGCTCCGCATCACCGACCACATCCGACTTTATTTTCCACGGACCGTCCTACGATCCCTCTCGGCTTCGGTTATCCGCGATTCTATCTTGACACACGTTTGACCCGGTACTCTTCGCTTTGCGCGTACAGATTTGGCTGCCATGGAGGGAGCAAATCGCGCTCCGGGAGTGGGTGCGGGCTCAGAGAATGATGAAAAGACGAAATCCAATGGGGTCAAGTTTAAAAGAGAGGACAACAGCGATTCGGGTACGCCAAACGGCCTCAAGAAAACCGACTCCCGAGCCACCAGCATGTCTCCAGATGACATAAAATCGGCCTCCGACAGCACACCGACTCTCGAAAACGGCACGGCGCCGAAAGCATCGCGCAAAGCATCACAGAAGATGACACGGAACCCACCGCCGATGTTCGACCATCTCCCCAACGCCACGGAAACCGCGTGCAGCACGTTTCAAGTCATCAACGACTGTCTCTATGGCTCGAGGAATATGGGCTCGTCGGATCATGACGCGCTGGATTGCGACTGTGCTGAGGAGTGGCGTATGTTACTTTTCCTTTTTCGGTTCCTAGTTCCCCCATCCGGGCGCTGACTTTCGTCTTTTTTTGCTGTGCAGATGACGGCCAAAATCATGCCTGTGGCGAAGACTCAGACTGCATCAATCGAGCCACCAAGATCGAGTGTGTCCACGGCGACTGCAATTGTGGGGAGGGCTGCCAGAACCAACGGTTTCAGCAAAAGCAATGGGCCAATGTCTCGGTCATCAAGACCGAGAAGAAGGGGTTCGGCCTGCGCGCGGATGCTGACTTGCAGGCCAACGACTTCATCTTCGAGTATGTGGGCGAGGTCATTAACGAGCCGACCTTTCGCAACCGGATGGTGAAGTACGACAAGGAGGGCATCAAGCACTTTTACTTCATGTCGCTGACCAAGAGCGAGTTCGTGGATGCCACTAAGAAGGGCAACCTCGGGCGGTTCTGCAACCACTCGTGCAATCCGAATTGCTACGTGGACAAATGGGTGGTGGGCGAGAAGCTGCGCATGGGTATTTTTGCCGCCCGCTCGATCCGGGCTGGCGAGGAGTTGGTGTTTAACTACAATGTCGACCGATACGGCGCTGACCCACAGCCGTGCTACTGCGGGGAGTCCAATTGCGTCGGCTTCATTGGCGGCAAGACCCAAACAGAGCGTGCGACGAAATTGCCGCTCGCCACGATTGAGGCGCTCGGCATTGACGACGGCGACAGCTGGGACACTGCAGTTGCCAAGAAGCCCCGCAAGAAGAAGGCCACCGAGGATGATGAGGAATACGTCAACAGCGTGCAGCCCCGCGCTCTGGACGAGGATGGAGTCACCAAGGTCATGGCGACACTCATGCAGTGCAAAGAGAAGTGGATTGCCGTCAAGCTGCTTTCTCGTGTCCAGGCCACCGAGGACGAGCACCTGCGCCATCGTGTCGTGAGGATGCACGGCTACCAGATCCTCAGGACCACACTCAATACGTTCAGGGAGGACACCAATGTCGTGCTGCAGATCCTCGACATTTTGTACCAGCTTCCCCGGATTACGAAAAACAAGATTTCGGACTCCAAAATCGAGGGTGCCGTGCAGCCGCTAGCCTCGGCAGAACACGAGGAGGTTGCCGTTGCTGCAAAGCGATTGCTGGATGAGTGGAGCAAGCTCGAGACCGCCTACCGGATCCCGCGCAAGAAACACGACCCGTCGGCGCCTGTCGTGGGCAACTCGTTTGAAGAGGAGCGGCGCAACAAGGATCGTGACGAGCCGTCCAAGTCGTCTGCTGCTGTTGGTGGTTCTGGTGGTGCTGACCCCTTCGCCAATGTGGCGATTCCGACTGGACCCCGCAGCAGCATCCCGCAGCGCAATGCCAATTTCTTCTCGGCACAGCGGCCCCGGAAACCCCCCACCAACCTGCCGGCTGGCTGGTTTGTCAACACCGACAAGAATACCGGCCGCTATTACTTTTACGATGCGACCGGCAAGGTACAGTGGCAGCGGCCCCTTACGCCCGCCATCGAGGTTCCGAAGACGTCCGCCAAGGCCCAGCAGGACCAAAAGGTGCTGCAGAGTATCATTGACGAGTTGACCAAGGAGCCCACTCCGCGACACTCGGCCAACCACACCCCACAGCGGTCGACCACACCGGCGGCAGCCGAGTCGAAGAAGGAAAAGTGGCGTTCTCTACCGATCGAGAAACAGATGAAGATCTATGAGAACACAGTGAGTTTATTTTCTTTTTGTGCTTCCGAATGGCTTGTATCCACCCGTACTAACTTTGCCAGCTCTTCCCTCACGTCAAGCATGTCGTGGACAAGTTCCACGGCAAGTTGCCCAAAGAGGATCTGAAGAAATTCGCTCGCGAGGTCAACAAAAAGCTTGTCGCCTCGGACTACAAGAACAAGCGGGTCGAAGACCCAACGTCCATCAGCAGCAAGCAGGCCAAAAAGGTCCGCAGCTATGCGCACGAGTTCTTCGCCCGCGCCGTGGTCAAGTACACCGAGCACGGGAAGAAGAAAGCCCCGAGCAATGGCGGACCGTCGTCCTCTACCCAACCAAGCAGCGCCGCACCCGCGAGCTCGACCGCTACCCCCATCAAAGACGACCTAATGATGTCCGACGCCGACCTCAGCCCAAGCAGCTCCGCCGATCGAAAGCGCAAGCGGGATGACCACAACGGCGAGATCGAAACCGACGACTCACCCGGCGCCCCGCCTTCCGAGACACACTCGGTCAAGCGTTTCAAAGAGGACGACGCCGAGGCCGATGGACCGAGCAACCCCACAGCAGCAGGCGAGGCCGTCCCCAGCCCCCCCACTCCGCCGCCCCCGCCGATGGATACCCCGCCGACGGAAGAGGAGCGGTCGATGCGCGAACAGGAAGAGGCGCTCATGCGGGAGAACGAGGAGGCCCAGCGGCTGGAGGATGAGGCGCACGCTGAGGAGGGAGATGTTAAGGGTCTCAAGAACGACGCCATTAACAACAACAACACTATTATTACTAATACGAAGAACATGCACATCAACGGCGCGGCTACCGCTGCGAACTCTGGCGCTGCCCTTCCGAACGGAAACGGACCGACTGCCAGGGAGGTGGATATGGACGTGGACCAGCCTTCTAAGCCGAGGGAGGACCAAGAGCAGCAACAGCGCCAACGCCAGCGGGCGGTGATGAGCCATTGATTTGCCTTCTTTAATTTTCTTTCTTTTTTCTCCATCCAATGGCGTGGCAGCATATTGATTGACCTGTTTTTTTATCTATCCCACGGACGAATGGGCGGATATGGGTCGGTGGATGGATGGACGGACGGACGGATGGATGGATGGGCGGAATAGATGGCTTTTCATAAGAATACCCCCCGCTCTATCTCCCTTGTATCAGTCAGTCAACAGAAGGGCATCGAGGGTGAAAAGCTAACAAGGGGATTGATTGATTGACTGACTCACTGCTCTGAGAAGCAGGCGGCTAACCCAGGCCGCAAATGCCTTCTTTTTCTCCATCATCAAGGAAGGGAAGGGAGGATGGAAAAAACTTAAACGGGAATCATGTTATTTTTGTTCTGTTCTGGGAACCTACATCCATTTAATATTTGTCTCTCGCCTTTTACTTTTTCTCCATCCTCGGCTTTCTCTTTTGCCGGTGGATGCGAATAACTCATATAACTCCATAATCCATGGTGGCTATTTTCCCGGGCCGACGTCATGCCATGGGAAAACGGGATATGATGGGGAACGTGAAGGGTGCGCGGTTTGGTTCATTGTATGGCAGACAGAGAGGCAGTAGGAATAGGAGAGGATACCCTTGAGTATGGGACGGGCAGGTTTATTCTGTCAAGGGGTGATGATGAAGGCACGATTGTTGAGTGTTCACACACTCGGGTTATACGTTGTTGTTTTAAGAGACATATTGCGATGTACATTTCTTACGGTTGAAACGTATACCGGGAATGACGCTCAATAAACAAGCATATGGTCTGCTTCCAAAAATCATGTGGTTGGCACCATCATATTATTTTTATTGTCGCGGCGTCATGCTGCTTGCACTACTCCAAAATCTTCTGCTTCACGCATCCAAAGGCATCACCATTTGCGTCCACGACACCATATTCTTTCTCCTCCTCCCCACAGGCACCCAAGCATCATCATCATCATCCTCATCATCATCGTCTATGGAGCCGCCCTACCAGCTCTTGACAATCTTCTCCAACACGTCCACCAGCAAATCCGCATGCTTCTCTTCGAAAATCAGCATCGGCCGTAACCGCACCGCGCTCTGTCCACTCCCGCCAATATTCACACCCAGTGTCTTGGCCTTGACTAAGAACTCGTCCCGACGCGGGTTGTCAAAGGCGATAAACGTGCCCTGGCCCTTACCCCTCAAGTTATTGAACTGGCCTGGGTATTTCTCGGCCAGCGCCTCCAGCTTGCCAAACAGATAGTCGCCGACACGAGCGGTGTGCTTAACAAGGTCGAGCTTTTCGATCTCGTCGATGATGGCGCGGAAGAGCAAAGCGCGGGCCGGGTCACCCATCCAGGTGTTGAACTGCCGGTACGGCTTGTTGGGACGCAGCTCCGGGTTGCCGAAGTAGTACCCCGCTGTTTGCGCCTTCTTGCTGAAGGTGACCATGTCCGGAGGGTGCGGGAGGTCCCAGTGGTCGTGTGCCCAGAAGCGGCCAGTGGCGCCGACACCTGTCTGGACTTCGTCGACGATGAGCAGCACCCCGTGCTTGCGGGTGATCTCACGCAGGCCGCGGAAGAAGGCAGGCGTAGCGTGGTTGTCGCCGCCTTCGGACTGGATGGGCTCGACGACGACGGCGCAGGGGGGAATATGGTAAGTGGTGATGAGTTTCTCGACCTCTTCGAGGGCCGCACGCTCAATAGCGGCGTTTTCTTCGACGTGTTGGTCGAGGGGGTACTTGAGCTGTGGGAAGGTGGCCTGCGGCCAGTCAAAGGCAGGGATATCAAGCTTGTGGATGGGCTTGGAGCGGGTGGTGGAGAGCGAGCCAAAGAGGCGGCCGTGGAATCCGGTCTTGAAGGACAGGATAGACAGGTTCTGCGAGGCGCCGGGGCTCTGGTTGTTCATGGCCGAGTTCATTTCCTCCTCGGTGAACTCGACCGAGGCACCACCACGCTCGCGCTGGCGCCGCCACATGAAAGCGGCCTTGTAGGCAGTCTCGTTGGCATCGGAGCCGGCCATGGCGGTGAACACCTGGTTGAGGCCCTTGGGTGCGACCTTGAGGATGCCGCTTTTGAGAACCTCGGCCCATTCCGCCGGTGGAAAGTTGCCGAGCGCGGGGCGGTTGATGATGCCGTTGATCATTTCGTTGCTCCGGGCGGCCGCGCGAAGGGTCGGGTTGTTATACCCAAGAGGAATCGAGGCGATTTGGGCGTATCTATGAGGGGGTTTTGTTAAACACCGTCTCTTTCTCACTCTTTCCCCATCTCTCGCCCAATACACCCGGTACTCACACGTCTAGCAGCACGTTGCCATCCGGATCCGCAATGTAGTTGCCCACGCTCTTCGAGTAATCCGTCAGCATGTTCAAGCTGCGTGTGTCAAACACGGTATCCAGATCGGCAATGGCCGCCTGGGCCTTGGGTCCCGGGATCTGGGTTTTCACAGAAGGTCCCTCAGGCTCCCATCCTTTGTAGAAAGACGACATGGCGCGCGGAGTGGCCGTGAAGGTGCGGCGAGATTCGAGGCTAGCAATGGGCCGGGCGACGGCAGCAGCGCGCAGGAGGGCGTTGCCCCGAAGGGCTCTGCACGCCGACATATTGGATGTTTGTCTTCTGACTTCCTTCTTTGGCGTATGTTGTCGTGTCTGGCAGGCCTCTCCCACTCAGTTGGGATGAGGGAGGGGAGCGTGTAAATATGGGAAAGAAAAGAAGATGTGTGGCCGAATGAACCAACCAATTCGTCCGGGATCGAATTGAAAGAGGGGGAGGAGCTTTAAAAAGACACCACCACCAATGGAAGTCGACGATGATGCTGTCTCAAGGGTACCGCCGGCTTATATCCCCTGGTTCAGGCAAGACCGGTCCCTTCCCGGAGCGTTGTTGCGGATGCCGATGCGGGGAAAGCTCGGGCAGCGACAGAGGAAGCTCCAGATGAGAGCTCCGACAGGATCCATCCATTACGTCAAGCAGTCAGGGGGTCGACACGCCCGATTCCCGCAGGACAAACAAGTCCATATCTTATCAATGCCTTTTGGGAATTCTCTGGTCGTACCTTCCCTGATTCATGGGCTAGTACGGATACATCGTACCATTATGTAGATTGAGTTGTTCCAACATGGATGAAAGTGAACCAATCCTCAACGTCCAATACAATTCTTCATCCCAGCTCCTTCTGTTCCTCTAATAGCAAGAAAACTTGGATGCATATAAACCACAACCAGTTAGAAGCTCCCTAAAAACCACGGAAGTCAACAAGTCCCCTTGTCTGACCCCTCTTCCCCTCCAGTTTGCTTGGCAGGGTCTGGACTTCCAACCGTTCGCTTCCCCAAAACAGGGGTTTCTTATCACAGCAGTTATCAGCACCTACAAAAAAGCTGCATTTGCAACGGACCGGTGACACAACAGCCCCGGGCCGGCATCGGCAGCCATGAATCGGCCCCGCATATCGGAAGAGGGCTGGGCTGGGCAGCAAAGGGACTGATCTTCAGCAGCCAACCTCTCTCGTTCTCTCTCTCTCCACCGCCACACCTTGCATGCCATGCCATGCCATGCCACGACAGGCCCTTAAGCTAGCCCCAAGCCTCGAACCGAATCTGGCCGTTGAGAATAAAGTTGGGGAAGGTAACGTGGCAGGTCAAGGGGAAAGGGGTGATTGCGTGTTTGTTGGGGGCGGTTTTGTGTGAATCACGAGGACTAACTAACGAGTTGGGCTGGCATGGCTGGGAGGTTTACCTGATGAATAAAAGGGTCGGCTTCCAGCCCTGGTCGGTGAACCGCAGCGTGCTTGCCTGTCTCTGTTACTCAAATGTTTTTTGTTTTTTATGTGAACAAGCTGTCATTGATTCTGTCTGCTCTCTTTCACTCTGTGAAGGACATCTCTGTCGGCGACATCCAGCAAACCCTGTACGGAAAACACACAAAATACCGACCCATTTCAACCCTTTCCGGCGCCCATATACCCATCCACCCAGTCCGCCCGTCCAAGACCGTGCCGTTGTACGATCCTCGAGCCTAGCGCCAGTTCCCATCCATCCGTCGCCGTTCCCAAAACCCAAACAGCAAACACACAAGCTGGAAGAAGAAAGCAGGGCAGAAGAATGGCAACTACCAACGACCTAATGATGGAAAGGACCATGAAGGTCCATCTCTCTAGCTAAGTTTGCCGAGCCCCAGAGTAATATCCCGTGAATCTCAGAAAGCACCAAAGCGCTTGAAGTTGCCAAAGGATGCCCCCCCGCAAGCGAAGAGGACAGAGCAAATCCACTCCGTCACACCACTCGCCATATCCATCGTACAAATACCCAGGCAGAAAGTCAGAAAACCCCGAACGAAAGCCCAAACCTGAGAACCTGGAAACCCGAACCCCCCGAAAAAAAAACTCGAATGAGAAGAAAAGGAAAGACTCTGAGAAAGCTCAAGAACGGTGACGGGAGATCACCGGGTATATCCCGTAAAGCAAGCAAGTCGCATGCGCTTTGGAAAAAAATCTCGAAGTGAGAAATATAGCGACGACCGTGGCGCAAGGAAAATGATGTATCTTTCCGCCCCCGTCGTCTACTCTCTGCCCTTTTCCCTAGCTCTCACCTCACACCCGCACCACAGCCCTAGTTAAGAGCTCAGCCTCCGTCCGGGAACGCGAACGAGTCCCTCAATTCGGGAAACAAAGAGGTATACTCATCGACTAGGAGTGGCTGTGGCTGGTGAGCCGCCGTGTTGGGAGTGGCGCCCATGGTCGACGAGCAGGGGGCTGGGACAGAGTTAGGGGCATAAGCGGGGGCAGCGAGGGGGTCAGAAATAAGGGCACCAGGAAGTACCTAATTGCCTGACCCCGGCTCCTCCTTCTGTGCGGGCAGTTGCAGGCCGGCGCTTTGAGCGATCTGCTTCCATGTATCGAGCTCACGATACAAGCGCTCGCACTCTTGTTTCAGCTTGTCGTTGGATTGGCTGAGTTCGGCGATGGCCTGCTCGGTGAGAAGTTTCTCGAGGGTCCATTTCTCAATGTTCTGCGACTCGTTCTCCTTTAGCTGGGTGATAAAGGCGACCGCTCGCTGCAAGATCGAGCCCTTGTTCTTCTCACACCCGGGCACAATCTTGGCCAGCTCGTTGATGCCTTCGTTGATCGTCTCGCGGCGACGGCGCTCCACTACATGATGTGTTAGAACTTCGTCGCAGGTGGGATTACCAGAACAACTAACCTTCTTTGTGGTTATCCTTTCGCATCTTGTGCCACTCTTCAGAGCCGACAGCAGGCTTAGCGCTTGGCGGCGCACTATACCGCTGCTCCTGTGACTGCACTCCGTTGGGCGGCGGTTGTTGAATGGTTGATGGCGGCGGGGGAAGCGGCAGGCCGCCTGGTGGCGCCTGGCTGACAGAATGGCCGTTGAAACTGCTCTCGTCATGATGCGTCTCTGGTGTGGGCTGGTTGGCGAAGGCTTCCTCGGTCGACTGGGGGACATGCAGCGATGGGTACATGTTGAGGGCCGCAGCGGCGGTACTGGATGCGTTGGACGTATCGGCCGCGTTCTCATGGTCCGCAGCGGTAGCCTGTGCCAGAGCGCTGAAGTCGTCTACGTTTACGTGGTCGTGCGCAGCCTGTGCGATGCTCACAGTATCGCCCAGGAAGGTTTGGGTGTCAGAGTCGCCTCCCGCCATAGATGCAGCGGCAACACCGCGCTTGCTCCGGCGTGAATCGGGCGATGAAGACTCGGCGGTGCGTTTCCGCTTCTGACCGGGGCTCGTGGACACCTCGGAGAGATCAGGGTGCTGGACGCCAACGGTTGCAGCCATGGCGAGATGTGGGATGTCAAAACTGGCGACGGGTTAGCTTTTTGTGCAGAGGAGATTCGCCTGAATGGTTTTAAATCCGGCGGCCTCAAAGAACAGCCGCCCGAAATCTCAGGTGAGAACAAAACGCCAACAGGCGACAATATTTCTCGCCTCACAATTCAACTCCTTGCGATGCTCCTAAAAGAGACAGTGGCCCGCACTGGCTGCTGAGAGAACCATCGCAAACCGGCGCGCCGAAAGCTGCGACCATCAACCTGGTGGGAAAGAACGAGCGAAACAAGCCCTGAAAAACAGCTCAAATTGCCAGGGCCATTGCAAGTGCACTGAATGCATTTCTATGCAACGGCAGGCGATTTGAGAAGGGCAATCATTGTTTACTCTCTCACAACCTCCCTCTCACTTGAGAGGATGCGGCTGCCCCCCCCCCCCCGCTGTGCGTCGCTCTTTGCCCCTCTCTTTAGAGCCCCTTGGCCATCGACCGCGGCGGTTCCAAAAGCGACGCGTCCGACGATGGTTGTGCGCCAAAACGGACCGGGGCAAAGAGGACGGCGGCCAGGGGCGGGTTTGCGGTGGCCCCAGCTTTATTTTTTGTCTTGATGGAGATGTTGAATTCTCAAAGGGTTCTTACTCTGTCTGGTATCCTTCTCTGCTCTCTGGTTGGGTCTAAGAGGGCGAGGTCATGTGAAGAACGTGCCCGAAAACGTGACGAGCGCTTTCCGTGGGTCAGCAGGAATCCCTGAGAACGCGGGAAAATCGGGTGTAAAAATTATCGCGGACTGGTGCAAATAACATTTGAATAATAGGAGAACGATGCAAACATACCTCGATTTTGTCGATGGATTTGGAGGTTGACGTCTCGGCGTTGTTGATGGCTGTGAGTTTGAGGGAGATGCGAGAGAGGGAAGATCATGTGAGCTGAGGCTGGAGGTGAATCAAATCGCGGGACGCGGAGGGATCGGATGCACGGACCAGCTCCTTTGCCGAAAGCAACCCTCAAGCACCCCCTTCGTTTCTCGGCCTGCATGCACCAGCGATCAGCACCTTGACCCACCCCGGTTTGGAGTTGCCTGCTTTCCCACTGGCCCACTGACGCCTTCTGATGCCCCTCTGCCGCGTCTGTCGTTGGATTTTGTTCCTTTGGCCAAACGGGCGGCTGGATGCGACTTTAAACTCACTTATCGGATTGCTTTCGGAGCGCGGGGGATGGGGAGATGGGGCAGCTCCTTTGGCGGACCTGTAGCGGACCTGGAGCGGACCTGTAGCTCTACGAAATCGTCACATTTCTGTTCTTTGTTTCGCGTTTCTGATGGGTGAGCGCAGGGTTCCAAGGTTGCCCATTACCCAGCACGTGTTTATTATTCGCCCGCCCACCTGCGCCCACCTGTGCTCACATTGCGCTCACTCGCACACACACCACCACCCTTCTTCCCCCCAATCCAAGCCTCCCTGTCCTGCTTCTCGTCCTCCACGGTCCCCCACCAAAACACCGATGGCGGCATAATACGACGGCCTCTCGACCTCCAATAACTACACAGTAACCCCATCCCGCAGCAATAGCAATGTTTCTGGCCTCCCATTGCATTGCCCCACCTTGTAATACCCCCTCATGACGCGAGGCAGTGAGACATGCCGCCACATGATTGGGCCTCCTGGGCTTGTCACGAGTCGCCGGGATTCTCGCCTGTCCCCGTCTCTTCCAGGGCCCTGTCCCTCCCTCCCCTCCATCCTATCCGGGACGCCCCGCGAGCACGGGATCTCGTGCTTGTGGGATTCTATGTCATCGCGATGCATGTCCACCAATTTGGAGATCGGGAGAACAGCTTACACTAACTCGATAACAATCCGCCCACACCCTAACTCTGACCATAACCCTGGTGGTGTAAGCTATCGAAAGCCCCCCGGAAATGTCGGGTTGCCTCCCAAGGTTACAAAGGTTTCTCACCACTTCCGTTGTGCAGTGCTTATCCCATTTTGAGTGATGTGCTAGTAATACCCTGGTTTGTTTCCATTCACATATAAGTTACACACCTGCACCTGGTAACACTTTCGGTCGCGCTATCATCTGCGATGTCGATCCTGTTGCCCATCTCGTTGAGACTCCTTAGGTTGTGCCGCTACTATCAACCTTGATGGATGTATCGTCAAGGGGACGGGCACAGACAAAGACGAGGCGTTGAAGCGCAACCCGATGAAGCAGATAGTAGGCATTCTTTGAAATTTTCGCCCCGGCTTTTCAACCTTGAGATGGCCATCCTGACGGCCGAGCATGAGGCACTCGATTCAACCCTGAAGGCCCTCATCATGGAACAAATCTATCATTTGAACCGCCACCATCTAACTAGTGTAGATGAGGGTGGCGCATCTAAACTGTCGAATATGTGGCTGGTGAGAGGGACAAGCGGAGTAGTCTCGACAGGGGCGCTCTAAGGGGGGCGGCTGGCCAACTCTGGGCATCGAGGTTAGTTTCTACCTGAACGACGAAACAAGATAAGGTGGTGGCTTATAGCATCCGGCCATGATACAAAGATCACCATTATCTTACTTCACCGGGTACAGCAACCTCTGGTCTTGAACTAAGTCCTTCCAGGGGGAGTTGACAATGTCCGCTTCGGAGCGGGGGTGGGTTCAGTAGTGGAGGGTTAGGGTTATGTGTGGAAAGGGATTTGCCAAGAAGATCAATTGGATTCCGGGCTCGGACCACCCTTGTACTGCCGAGCTTCCCCTTCACTACCTACTTTCCAGTGCCTTTAAGCTGCAACATTCTGAAGCAACTCTGCGGAATTAACAAAGTGCCTCTGGAAATCCATATGCACCCCCTCACTTTCTAAGTGCTTGAGAAGATTCTCGCTATGGCAGATCTAGATGCGGTCAAAATAAACCACGATACCCATTTGCTGTTGGTACGTCGATGCCAATGTCCCCTCCCCCCATCTCTGGTAGTCTGAAGCTAACTACTGTTTCCCCCTCCCAGGACCAATCGTGCCTACGCCTGCCATACGAGCTTCTACGCAAAAACTTCCGCTCTGTCCACTACCCCTTCGAATGGGACTCGACCTCTGTCAAAAATGTAGTCAAGGAGACGGCTAACGGCCTGATCAGTGGCAAGTCCACGCCGCAGGATGCCGTCAAGAGTCTCGACCAGATGCTGGTCAAAATGCGCGGCCTGAAGCGCAAGTTGACCGTGGCTGCCGAGGAGGAGGACAATCTCTATCACCAGCTCGATGCCCGTGTGGCCCATTTCCGCGACCTAGCTAATCTTAATACCGTGGACGACGTCCGTTACGAGGACTGGTCCCGCCAGCGTCTGGACCGTCTTTTGATTGATTACATGCTCCGGCACGGCTACGACTCGTCGGCGACCTCTCTGGCTCAGGAGAAGGGGGTCAAGGATCTGGTTGATATCGACACCTTTGTCACCATGAGCAAGATCCGCAGGTCTCTCGAGGCCGGAAGCGTGCAGGAAGCCCTCAACTGGTGTACCGAGAACAAGAAGGAGCTCCGCAAGATGCAGTCCAACTTCGAATTTATGCTTCGCTGCCAACAGTACATAGAGATGATGCGCACCGGATCGCACAACAAAATGCTGGAGGCTATTAACCACGCCCGGAAATACATCACTCCCTTCAACGACACCTACCCCGTCGACGTCAGCAACATGGCTGGCCTACTAGCCTACCGACCCAACACCAACATGGAGCCATACGCCTCATTATACAGCCCTTCGCGCTGGCCCAAGCTAGCCGAGACTTTTGTCGAGGCTCACCTCAAGCTGCTCAACCTACCTATGACGCCGCTCCTCCACATCGCCCTCTCGTCCGGTGTATCCGCCCTCAAGACCCCAGCCTGCCACAGCACCCAATCACATATCGACCCCGACCATACCCAACAACGACAACAACCTGCCAACGGCGCCGGCACCACCCCAACCCAGAATACAACCACCACCACAACCACCACTACTACCACCGGCACCACAACCAGCAACACACCCACAGCCACCCAAACCCACCCCCACCACCACCACGGCACCGCCTCCCTGACCACGCGCGTCTGCCCCATCTGCTCGACTGAGCTCAACGCCCTCGCCCGCAACGTGCGCTACGCCCACCACAGCAAGAGCCGGCTGCTCGAGCAGGACCTGATGCTGCTCCCCAACGGCCGCGTCTACGGCCGCGCGCGGCTGGCCGAGTATGCTGCGAAGTCGGGCTTGCCTGTGGGGCAGCTGAAGGATTTGGTGACGGGGGAGGTGTACGGTGAGGGGGAGGCTAGGAAGGTGTTTGTTACGTAGGTGGGTGGGCATAAGTCAGTCAGTCGGTCAGGATCCGTGGGATACGAGGAGAGTAGGAGTGAATGAGAATACATTATTGGGCGTTGCGTTGCTTATGAGCTTGGTATTATGGCATTGGGTTGGGGTTCATTGGTTTTGGTTTGCTCAGGTCTCAAGTTTGGTTTCGGGCTCAGAACGTTTTCATGAAACCGTGGCTGGCCGGCCGGTCAGTTAGTTTTACAGCCACGAAAGAGCACACATAGTTTCGGCGTACAAGGGAAGGGGACTTGGTTTAGCTTTTGCATCTTAGTTCGCTCAGGATGATGAAGTTACGTTTAACTCAATGAGGAGACATGGCATGACACGGCGCACACAGGGGAAGGGAAACAATAGTCCAACTAGCAACAACCCTAGAGTCGAGCTGAACAAACTACCTCCTTAAATGCATATAAGGTAGACTCAGCGTGAGGAATAACATCCATTTTCCATGACCAGTTGTGACCCATCCCTAAATCCCTTTTCAGTTCTGTTCTGGAAGTGTACGATACCGTCAAACGATAAATATCACAGGCGGCTCAAGTAATGATGTATGTATGTGAAAAGACACACACATCCGGTTTAGCAAGTGTGTGTTGCAGCAGATCTCCTTGATGTTAATTCCACCACGAGAATAGACGGTTGGCGAGACATGAACAGAGGGGAAAAAAGGACAAAAAGCAATACAGAGGAAGACAGCCGCAGGATCACGGGCATACCATCCATACGCTCCATATAGAGTACATGCATACATACATCTACATATACACTGAGACACACAACCACACACACAACGAAATACCCACACACACACACAAACACAAGAAGAGAAACACAGTCAACCATAAATAAAACACAAACACGCGAAGAGAAGCGAAGAGAATCTCTCTCCCGAGAGATAGAGGAAGCGAGAGAGAAGTAGAAGTAGAAGAAGAAAAAGAACAAGACAGTAATTCCTATATCGGTTTCGTTGTTCCCGACCCGCTTGCCCCCTATTTCCCCGGCCAGTCCCCTAATCCCCCGTCCCCCGGATAGAAACAGCCCTTTCCCCCTTTCTTTTCCTTTGATATTTTTAGGTCGGTCGGTCGGTCGGTCGGTGGGTTTATGGTTGGGTAGGAGGTAGGTAGGTAAGGCAGGTAAGGTAGATAAGGGAGATCGGTAAATAGTAGTAGGACCAGCCGGTAGGTAAACCTCTTCCCATTCGATTGCATTCCATTCCGTTATTCCCATTCCTCGCTTTTCTTCCTCCCCGCCAAACCCTTCCTTTCCCGCCCTACGATACATACATACATACACGCACGCCAGCTAACCGGAACCATCCTACCAATCACTCACACATATCTATCTACCTTGCACCTCCAGCAAACGCAAAAGCCCCAAACACACCGCCTCCTCCGCCAGGCGTCATCGGGCCCATAGTGCTGGCCGCATTGCCGACGCCCGAGCCAGATCCGTTGGTGTTGTGCGACGACGCGCCGGGCGTACCGCCGACCAATCCGACACTACCGGTGTTCGGGGTGCTGGGGGCGCCGCCGTTCGCATGGTGTGGTGGCTGCTGTGATTGGGTGTGGTGGACGTGGGTGGTGGTTGTTGTCGTGGTGGTGGTGGTCGTGTGGTGGGTATGCGCGTGGCCGTGGGCTGGATGGTGAGCGTGCGGGTGGCCCGGCGGGGTGTGTTCCACCTGGCTCTGCGGGTTCGGGGGCCCGACGGTGATGCCGGTGCCGCCGATGGAGAAATCGGGGATGCCGAGACCCCAGACCTTACCGAGGTGTTCATCCGAGATGTCCCCGTTGAAGATGCGCTTGCGCAGCTCGAAGAAGACGCGGCCGGTGAGTAACGAGTCGGAGCCGGCCTGGTGAGCGGAACCAACACGCTTGAGCTTGAGGGTCTCGGCGATGTGCTCGAGGCCCGACTTCTGCTCAAACTTTTGCATGATTTCGATGGCGGTCGGGTCGGTAGGGGTGAGCATGCCGCTATTGTGCAGCTTGATGGCGTGCTTCATGAGGTGCTTAACGTCATAGGTGGACGGGAAGTAGCGCTTCATGTTCTGGTCGAACTCGACCTCGTCGCAGGGGAGTGGCCGGCATACCAGCAGCTTGGTCAGGTAACCAAAGTCATACCCGCCGTGGAAACTAATCCAGCGCACCTCGTCGAAACACACGAGGCCAGACGGGATCAACAGGGACGCAAACTCGTGCGGGTCGATGCCGTCGCGCTCGAGCATCGCAAAGTCGATACCGGCCTGCTGCAGCGACTCGATCGAGGTCTGATTGTACATATCGTCCTTGAGGGAAAACTTGAAGTTGAACTGCCAAGCATACGGCAGCGGCGCCTGGTTGCCTGTCCTCCGCAGATCGGCCGAGTCGGTCGAGGCGGGTCGGGCGGGTGGTTGCTCGCCGTCTTCGTTGAAGAGGGCGATGCCGATCTGTATAACCTTGAGCAGATCCACGTTGGTCCGCAGACATTGGTAGTGGTAATCGCTTTTCCCTCGGAAACCTCCCATCGGCCTTGCTACGACGCCCGGAAATTCGGTGTCCTATGTTTGACGGATCTTGTTAGCAAGCAACCCTCAAGGTGGCGCGTCATCCCCCTTTCACCCCCCACCTCACACACGACGACAACCCTCTCCGCGACCAAGGAATGCCAACCCACCATAGCAATAAACGGGTACTTGTCGACTAGATCCCGCAGGTTCGCCATCTCTTCTAACAGGTTATGTTTCCACACCTCTCTTATCCGCCCCTTTTGTGCAAGCCGTGTCGCGTGCTCGACCAATCCGTGCCCCTGCTGCTGCGCGTGCTGCGGATGTTGAACGGGTGGGGCATGCTGGACATGTTGTGCTTGCTGTTGTTGGAGGACAGAGACTTGCTGCTGCGACTGGTGTTGTGCCTGCTGCTGCTGCTGCTGCTGTTGTTGTGCCTGTTGCTGCTGGGCCTGTTGCTGGGCCTGCTGCTGCTGCTGCTGCTGCAAGTTCCCAGCGTGCGCAAACCCCATGCGGGCGGCATGGCTAGCCAGGCCCGAGTCAGCACCGACGCCAAAACCAGCCGCGGCATTGAGTCCCCCCGCGAGGCCTAGCAGGTTGCTATTCCCCGAGAAGGGGTTCACCTGGCCGACCTGGCCGACCTGGGCATTGAGGTAGGCGGCCGTGGCGCCCAGGGGCGGGGGATGACTCGTGGCGTGCTGGGCATGAGAGGGGAACTGCTGGTGATAGGGCGAGATGGTGTTGGGTCCGCTTGGGAACCGATTCAGCGGCGGAGGCATCGCGTGGTGGCGGCGCCCGTGGAGGGGATTGGGTTAACCAGCTGCCTGCCTAGTCACTTATCGTTTCTCCTGTCTGTCTTATCGTGAGGGCCGTATGCTAAGAGCCGTGTCCGAGTGGAATCGTGAAGCGACCATTCCCGTCCCGCGTTGTACCGGGGTTGGGGGGTTAGTGTTTTCTCCAGATGGTACTGTTGTATGTATGTGTTGCTTTGTTGGGAATAGTTCGATCCGCTCGGTACTCGCAAGAGGCACAGGATGACGGAGTCTTGTCAAATTGGGTTTTGGTGGGCTGGGTTTGACGCTGCGTGGAAGCAACTGCGCGATCGAAGTGGAAGAATTGCCGTCGGACGTCGGGGCGAAAGTCTGGAAAAGTCGAAATAAAAAAGCGGCAGGCAGTTTCGAGTGCGGGTGCGCGCGTATTTGAGCGTCTGGGCGTGGTAGGTTCGTCAACGCGGGCAAGAGCAGGCGGATTTCGTACAGATGGGTCGCGGGGGGTGTGGAATTGAGCTGAGGCGGCAGGTTTGTTCATGCCCCGAATCAAGCACTAAGGTTGGCGATGGACAGGAGGCACAGGCCTCTGTGTAAGCACGGGCCACACATTTGGCAAACTCCACTGTGGAAAGCTACCTTACCTAAGCGCATTTCCCCAGTCGAGCCAAGCCCAGCAAGAAGCTCAAACCAAACTGCGCTGCATCCAGTGACGAGACCATTGAACGAGCACCCCCGTCAACATTACGTCTGCGATAACAACAACACGCCATTGAGCGAGCGAGCGGCTGAGCAGCGCAGCCCGCCGAATCCCACTTGCCCGACCGACCCCGAACGAGCAAACGAGCAACCTGCTCAACCCCCATCATCATGCTGCCCACCAGGTACGAGCCCCCTAAACAACCCCCCCAAAACCACCCACCACCTTAGGCTAACAACCCCCCCTCCCTTTGACAGAATCCTCCTCTCCCAAGCCGGGAAGAACATAACCGGCTTCGAAATGCGCAAACTCCTCGCCGCCACCGGCCGACCGCGCTACGATCCCTGGGAGCGCAAGTACGATAATCTCCCTCTCCCCCAAATTCCCCTACCCCCCCCCCCC